AAGCAATCCACAAGAAGGGACATATGGCATTGTTGTACTCAATTGTCATAGATTTCGTTGTGATTGGACAAGTTGTTGCTGATCTTATTGCACTTTTGTTTGGTTGGAAGAAAGAGAGCTTGTGAGTGTGTTGTCAGTTGTGTCTGGTTCAAAAGCTTAACTGTGTTTGGGTGGTTGATGTCATTTTGTTGCCTCACTAATCTTTGATGTACCTTTCAAGCACAGTTTGATTTCAACCGGTTTTCCTGAGTTGCTTTGATCGTGGTTTAGATTCAATGTATTTATTTTCCCTCTGTAACCGATCTTTCAAAGTACAATACTCCTTTGTATAAAAAAAAACCTTTGATACGGTTTCACAATACTTGGATAATAGTATTGTTTTACTCCACTGTTAGTATGCAATGACTATTTTTGGCCTTTTGTTGTACTTTCCGCCTTAAATAATTTGCAAATTCAAATAAACACAAAAATCTCTCTCTCCTAATCGCATCGTAAAAATCCGTATCACCTCTGCTCCTCATTGTTACGTAGCATGTTCAAACTTTTTAATGACGCCATTTAGAACCACACTCAAAGTAGTTACTAACCATATTAAGTAATCAAATTCACAACTCACGAACATCGTTACTCGTAGGAGAAAATCGTTGATACCCCATACTAGAAATCAATTAGAACTTTAGTAATAAGCATATAAATGATTACCAACCAAACTAAAAAAAAAAATCACAACCAGATTCATAAATATTGATATTTAGCAACATTCTATGTTGCTACTCATATTGAATAACTTCTTGCGCACTTTGTCGAATAGAGCCACGGGGCTACCTTGTTCTGAGCTTTCCTACATGACGAATAAGTTGACATGGAGTCATAATATGTTGACCACAGGCATAACAAAATCAACTTCAAAGGATCGAACCTTACCCGGAAAATCTTCCTTTTTACTGCCACATCAAATGGTGTATATTTCCAAGCATATGAGGGCTATCTCCAGTTGAAAGGGTATTCACATAACATGCCATGCTAATTTCCCCTACAAATAGGCAAATAACAGAAAAACTAGCCATCAAGGAGCATGGAAACTGCGCAAACGGTACAATCCCTCTGGCAGTTGAACCTCGAAAGTGTTTCTCAGGACGGTCATCCTCCGACTGCTTTCTACAGCACCATCATGAGACGATAATACCGAGAGTATCAACACTACCATATGCTTATCAAGAGCTGAGCAACACAAGAACAAGACAGAAATTGTCAACTCCAGTGTTAGTGTGTTACCAGCATATCAATTCGGCCCAGATTACTCCAGAAACGTGTATATACCATGGAACATGTTAGAAACACCAGCTAAGGACCAGGTTTGGCTAAACAGTTAATGGCAACAGAAAGTCGAGACATGTATCTCAAAGCACAGCACATGCATAAGTTTTTTACACGCTTGCTATAAAGAGAAGCCCTAAGCACATATCCCGTATGGTGTTCCCTCTCTTTGTGAAATTTAATCATCAGATATCAAACAGAGAGCATCTCTGACAAACACAGAGAAACATAAAGATGGAAAGATATTGGATTCTTCCACTTTGATTGGATTTCCCATGAGTCTGAAATATTCAAAAGTTTCAAACCAATTTGACACTTACATTCACCATAAACCACAAGAAGTTCAAAGAACCAAGGAGTATAGCTGAACAACATGAGGTCTTGTAAAGAGATTTCGCAGATGTTTACCAGAACATATGATGAAATTAGTCCCCAGGTGCTTCTTCCTCATCTGTTGTGCCACAGTCAATTTGCATGGGCCCTTTGAAGCTGCCTGCTTACGCTGCTTAAAGTGACAGCGGCGGCGCCCAAGACTCAGGTGGCACCGCCTGAGACACCAGCGAGTTAGGTGGGAAATTATCTCAGGAGGCGGCGCCCGAGACTAAGGTGGCACCGCCTGAGACATCAGCGAGTTAGGTGGCCATCCCCTATATAAACCCAACCAACTTCATTTCAGTTTCACACCACAAAAAAAATCGTCCAAAACAAAAACAAAGGAGAGAGCTCTGGTTGCTGCTGCAAAAATGGCTAATAGGTAAGAGACACATTTATTTTTCTAATTATATTATTCAAATGCTATTATGATTGTGTTTAGTTTTAATTAGTGAGTTTTTTTTTAGTGATTTTAGAAGATTTGAACTAGTCGTTCGGTGGAAATCGGAGAAAGTAGAAGATAATTTGGGCGTCAAATTCGTTGGTGGTAGTAGTTTTCAGATGATGATTCCATCCAGGGTCACATATCATTATCTTTGTGAGAATCTAATTCCGAGAATACGGCGTAGAGACGAAGCAATACAAGATAGTGATGTGATCACAGGTTTCACTTACCGTCTTCCAGAATGGCAGAATGGTGTTTTATTTCATTATGCGATGCCTATTGTGGATGATGATAGCTTGAATGTGCTTTGGAATTTTATGGCACAAAATCCTTATTGTTTGGGTGCTGAGATACATGTTGAGCTCAGTGAGAATCAGGGTGGAGAGGAAGAAGATGATACATGGAGCGTGTCATCCGATCATGACTATGATGACGGTGATGACGGAGAGGAGGAAGATGAGGAGGAGGAGGAGGAGGAGGAAGAGGGAGAAGGAGAGCATCCTAATTATCCTCCATATTTTTACTTGCAGGGTAATGAAGAGGACGAAGAATACTCACTTGTTGATTCATATGGCGTAATTCCAATGCTGTTGATAGTTTTGAAGGAGATTTCTACAAGGGGCAGATATTTCACTCGAAACAAGCTGCACAAATGGCGATTAAACACCACGCACTACAATGCAACTTTCAATATGGCGTGGTGGAGTCGTCACCTTCAATCTGGAAGGTCAGATGCTTGAGGCACAAGGATGACAATTGTCCTTGGATGGTGCGGTTTGGATGTCGAGATGTTGGAGGCGAATGGACTGTGAGAAAGGCTGAGTTGGTGCATTCTTGAAGCAGTACGACTCAACCGACGGATCATCGCCATCTTGATGTCGACATGATATCTGAGGCCGTCAAACATTTGGTACGTGCCCAACCAAATCTCGAGTGTTCTAACTGTGCAAGCCGAGTTGAAAGATAAGTTTAATATGCAAGTTACTTACAAGAAGGCTTGGTATGGGAAACAAAGAGCATTGGAGAAGTTGCATGGAAATTGGGAAGAATCCTACGATTTTTTGCAAACATTCTTGCGGGTAGTCAAGAGAAAAATGCCAACATCGGTGATTGATTGGGTAAGAGTTCCTTCGACTCAACCAGGTCATTCGATATTTCAGTGAGTATTCTGGGCTTATGGACCTTGTATAGATGGATTCAAGAATTGTCCAGGCGTCATGGTTGTTGATGGAACATTTCTTACTGGGAAGTATAAAGGAGTGCTACTCATGTCGAGCTCATTTGATGGTCGGAAGAAGATTTTTCCAATTGCATTTGCCATAGTGGAGAGCGAGAATACTGAGAATTGGCCATGGTTCATAAGGAACGTTCAGGGTTTGACTGATCGAAATGATGTATGCATCATCTCAGATAGACATGCAAGACTCTATGAAGCCATGAATAACATCGGAAGAGGTTGGAAGTGGAGGTGGTGCATGCGACACTATGCAAGCAATTTGCAATGGAAGACTAAAATCAGAATTATGTATAAGCAACTATTTCGAGTCGGTAAGCCTTCTTCATTTAATTATGTTATTTATTTTCATGTAATTTTGTCATGAATTTATCTAACCCGTGTGGTTGTTTATTTTGTTAGCTGAAGAAAAACGGTTGGAGAAGTTCGATCGTCAAGTTGAGCAATTTAAGAAGGTGGCCAGTGATAGAAATATTTCATGTGATAACTGGGTGGATCAACATCAGATTCGTTGGAGTTTCGCACATGATAACTACAACGGTGGGCGTCGTTGGTCTATGCTGACATCCAACATAGCAGAAAGCATCAATGGTGTTTTCAAAGGTATTCGTGCACTTCATATAGCTTCTCTTGTGTTGACTGAAACTGCTGCTGTCGCGGCGGCTGAAAGCTCGAGGAAGGATCTGACTGAAACTGCGACCGAAGCGGATTAAACTGGAAGCTCCTCGATGTAGGCCGGATGGGCTGTGCTCGCTGTCGATCTGAAACCCGGAATGGGTTAGGTACATCACGATGCTCACGTCGCTGTCTACGTGGCCTATGCTCCTGTCTAAACTGTGGCTCTGGGGCGACCCAGCCCGGTGTCGGATCAGTACGCTCTGGCCAGGCAGTCATGACAGGCTCCGCATAATGGGGCTGTACAGGTCTTGTGAGATCAGGGTATCTACGCTGCTCAAACCCTAGAGTAGCAACCCCGGATGCCATAAGGTTGGCCAAGTCCTCACACTGGTCAGGGGTCAGCCCTCCAGCCCTTACACCGTCACGCAAACTCACCTCAGCATGCTCGATAGTGTCGTACTAAAAAACACCAACAAAATGTCAGATTTCACACAGTTAACAACAAATTAAGCAAACAAATCAAATAACTAACCAATGCCTCCGCTACAGCTCCTCTCCGTGTGCCGGAACGTCTTGTGACATCTCTATACCACTCCATATGCTCCGAGTGGTAGGCTAACTCCTCATCAGTGTATGAAGCTGTCGCTACAAACTCGTGTCGACGGTTCCAGAAAGCAAGCGACTCTCTGGAGGCGTGTACCAACTGCTGCCCACGCGATGGCCCATGAGTAGCCTGGCGAAGAAAAAACCTAACCTCAGCCTCAGGATGTGGCGGATGAGGCTCATGCTGCCTCATGCCAAACTGTCGGAGCACGCGGTCTGGATGATGCCACATCACCGATGAAAAGCAGATAAGTGGCACTACTGTTCGAAATGTCTCAGAATGTATCACAGTACCTCTGAGATGAAGTGCTCTCTCACGGTAAGGTTGCCACTACATAGCAAAAATTTAACGTTATTATCCCTAAATCTAAAAAAATTAAACAAATGAAAACTATTCTATAAAATAGAATGTTATATACTAACCACCACGATGTCCATCGCGTCAAACCACAGCTTGTACTGGAATAGCTGGTCACCATACTGACGACTGTTGGCCGAAAGCCATCGAAGACCACGTGGGGATGCATCCTCGGTGGCCTGTGCCCTCGTCTCTGAATCTCGAGGTGCCAGATGTGGGAATCGCTCCCACGCCCAGAACTGCAGTAGGGCGACCCATCCACCAAGGTCACCGGCTAGAGAAGTGCCGGTATGCGTAATGTGCAAAGTCGACCTACCCATCTCACGGTACAGGTAGGATAAAACAGCAGCTCCCCAGGCGAACCGTCCAGCCCTCTGCCAATCCTCAATCAGAAGTAGGTACTGTAGGTGCACCGTAGATCCAGACCAATCCGGGAAAAGTACACCTCCAATCAGAGATAGAGCATAAGCTCGTGCAAACTGCTCTATAACCTCCTGTGATGCATCTTCCGGCAGATGACTGAATTCAACCCTCAGCCAAACAATCCTAACAACAGCGACACCGCCTACAAGATCAACAGGAACCCGTCCTAACAGTCTCAAACAGATCGCCGACCACTCCTCATCCGGTATATCAACTACGACGGCATCAACGTTGATCGCCAGACCGTACAGTGTAACAACGTCCTCTAACGTGATCGTGATCTCACCACACGGTAGATGGAAGGTCGACGTCTCGGGTCGCCACCGCTCTACGAGCGCAGTAATCAAACTCGCATTGGGGTTCATAGGGACTAGGGGCACGACACTTAACAAGCCTGCCGCTTCGAGATATGGCCGATAAAGCTCATGGTAAGGTACTAAAATGGCCGTACCTCGAACATGGTAAGATCGATCACCAGCCTATAGTGCACAAAACTTATATTAACTCATCTTCATTCGTAATAATTCTAATTTCACCTAATTAATTCTAATCTGTCTAATCTAATATCAAATTATACTAATTTCAAAAAATCTGATACGTAATCCTATTCTCTAACAGTACAGTTCAGTTCACCAACTAAAATAATCTAATTAGCTAATTAACTTTACATGAATAATTATCAAATACTTACCTCGTTTGTCCAAACAGAGTCGATACGATGTTGGCCATGTCCCCAAAGAAGTGTCGCATCGACCGGACTTGGATCAATTGTCGCCGGCGGTAATCTCATCGAATAAGGATCCATAAGCCTAGGAACTGCAAAAAAAAAAAGCAACAAAACATTTAAAAAAAACACAAACCATTAAAAAAAAAATTCAAGCCGCCGACGAGAGTCTCACCGCGCAAACGGCCGCCACGACCTCGCCGGCCTCTCCCCCTGCCTCTGCCGGCGGCGACTTCTTCTTCGTCGAAGGACATCTCCGGGCGCTGGCGCTTCTGCTGGCTGCGGCGGCGCCGGACTCTGGGGCGGCGGCGGCGGATTCTGGGGCGGCGGCGCCTGGCACTGCGGCGGGGTCGCTTTGCTCAGTGGCGGCCTCGCTGTGTCTTGGTGGTTGTGGCGCTAGGTGGCTGCGACGGCGGGAGAGGAAGAAGAAGAAGGGGTGGTTGTGTGGTGTGTGGAGGAGGAGGAAGAAGATAAGGTTGTGGTTGTGTGGGTGTAGTATTTAAAATAAAATGGACTAAGGTGGGAGCGCCTTAGTTTCCGGCGCCAGCACCTAGGCCAATTAAAATAAAAACGGACTAAGGTGGGAGCGCCTCAGTCTAAGGCGCCAGCACCTAGGACTTTTGCTAAAATTTTGTTAAAGCGGCCCCGCCTGAGTCTTAGGCGGCCACGCCTCCATCTAGCTAAAAAACACAATATTCTTGTCAATACTATTTAATCCGCAATATTAGTGGTAATTTAAAAAAAATAATATTTGTGTCAATAACCCGGGAAATACAGGGGAACGGAAACACAATTTTCTCAGAAATTGAGGGAAATCAGCGGGCATGGACTGGAATGAAACCCATGCCGATTATGGAACCACCATCTGCAATTGACATGAAATATTCATGTAACCGATGGTCCACACAACGGCGAGAAATTGATTCCACTCCTAAACTTGTAATCGTAAGGCTTTAACTAAGGGTGGAAATCGGTACGGTATCGGTATCCAAATACCAAATACTGAAATCCCGAATACTGAATTACACCCTAAAATCAATCCCAATCCCAATCCCTAAATAATTTCGGTATCCCAATCGGTACCTCGGTATCCCAATCGGTATTATCGAATACATAATTAATTACCATTACAATTAATAATTTCGGTATCCCAATCGGTACATCGGTATCCCAATCGGTATTATCGAATACATAATTAATTACCTTTACAATTAATAATTAAATTTTATTGTTTAATTTAGGGCAAAGAGACTAAGCAAATAGTCTTGAGTTGCCTAGAGCTAACATCTCAAATTCTTGTAATTGGTAATCTTTAATTTGACGAATTTGAGGTTGAGAGACGACTAATACTAGTGTGAAATAGTGATGTAATGATCTATGTATAATTAAATGATGAATTTGGTGGTTGATGGTCGCGTAGTAGTGAATGAGAGAGTCTAGTTGAGAGGATTAAATACACACTAGCTTATATTTCGGTATTGACCGGTATTTCGGTATATACCAATCCCAATCTCGTAATCCCTAATACCAAATAACAATTGAAATTCAATCTCAATCCCAATCCCACAAAATAGTACGTGTATTCGGTAATACCAAATATAAACAAATTCGGTACGGTATTCGGTTATCCCAAATACCGGTACCAAACTTCCGACCTAGCTCCAACTGCAAGAGGTGTAAATGGCCAATGCTAGTCGAAGGAAGTTTGCTGATCGAGGGAGAAGAGGAGGGTGCCGCTGGATGATAGAGAGAAAGACAAAAAGTAGAAGCGACTAGGAGGAAAGGAAGCGGGACTGGGGTCTGGGCTGGGGCTAGGTAAATGAAAGGTTTTTTGTACCGAGTAGGGTATCAAACAAATAAAGAAGGGAAGAGAGAACGGCTGACGTGGACACCTTCAACGTTTAGTAAAGGGTACGTGGCATGGGCTAAAATCCAAAACCTTTTAATATTTGTTAAGATTAAGATTAAGAAGACATAAAAACTAGCTATCAAGGACCATAGAGCAACTGTACTAACTAGAGAAATACAGTTTATATACTAGGAAACAAGGCACAATCCCTCTGGCAGGAGAACTTCGAAAGGGCTTTTCGTTTCACGGGACATTCATCCTCCGACTGCTTTCTACAACACCCTCAAGAGAAGTTAAAACCCAGAGAATCTACACCGCCGTACACAAGAGTCATCATCAAGAGCAACATAAGATCCCAGAATGCAACTTGTCTAGACAATGATGCAAGCAACAAATCAGTTCAGCCCAGACAAATCCTGCAAATGTATATACCAAGGAGCATGTTAGAAACGAAACTTAAGGATCAGGTTTGGTCAGGTAATCACAGCGGAAAGTCAAGCAATATCAAGCAAGTTTGCTATGATTATGGTACAATCACATTCATATCATGGATTATAGTCTTGTAGAACACATATCATGGGTTTTCCAGTTTTCAAACTGAAAAAATTCAGGCCTTTGACTTGGAACAGGAGGTATTACAGAAAGTGAAACACCTACTTCAACAGAACCAACGGCAGATCAGAAACTGGTAGAGCCACATGAAGACACACACCAAGAACTCCGTTCGACATATTAACGAACATCCATCTCTGTGAATGTCTAACAAAGGGTTGAGCATCATGCACAGTTCACAATTAACGGAGCGAGAGATAAATAAAAGCATAACAGCAACTAGTTACGTTATACGTCCAAAGGTAAGTTCTAGCATGCAGATTCTAAAAAAGGATTAAAGATTAACATTCATCAGTGACATGTACAAAAAAAAAAGACATATTACCGATATATCAATTATTCTTACCTTATCCATCAGGAAATTACTATCTTCCCATCGCTCTTTATAATACGACCTTAAAAGATAGTATTCCACCCGAGCCTTATGAGAAGACTCTTGGCATTCTATCTAAGAAGGAGCAAGACCAGAAAGGAGATGAACAAAAAGACCACAGGATCCCCAATCACCATACAGGGCTCCGAAGCCTAGTGTTGACTTGACACTACTAGTAAATAGCCAATGTTATTTTCTACACTAATTGGAATAATCCTTTTCACAGATTATGTATTATTACTCCTGAAGAAGCAAGACTACCGACACACGTGCTCCCCGTGGAATTTTCAGGACACATCCCCAATGCTTAGCACATGCATAAGTTTTACAAGTTTACTATGAAGAGAAGCCCTAAGCACATAACTTGTTTGACGTTCCTAATCTTAATGGATTCAATCATCAGTTATCAACTAGAGAGGATCTCAAACAAACGCTAGGGAACGTAAAGATGGAAAGAAATTGGATTCTTCCACTTTGGTAGAAGTTACCAAAAGTGAAATATTCAAAAGTTCCAAACCAGCTTGACAATAATATTCACAATAAAGCACAAGTTCAAACAATCAAGGAGTAGAGCTGAACAGCAAACTGAGGTATCACTAAGAGTATTTGCAAACCAGAACATATAATGAAATTAGGCCCCAGGTTTTTCTTCCTCATCTGCTGTGTCACTGTCAATTTGTATGAGTAAGTAAACTTGTTGATAAAATCATTGCAATACTGATGGCCTCCACAAAGGTTTTCTTGCTGTCAACTTCGCCACAAGATGAATAGAAAATGTCCAAGATGATCACTTTACATCTGCAATTCCATTCCATTCTTCTAAGAACCATGGACCCTCAACAAAATTTCAAATCACCAAAATATCTTTCGCATCAAAAGCATTTGCAACAAGGTCTCCAGGTGAGGTGGCTGGATGAAATCAAATCACTGACAACTATGAATAAGCTGCATCTGCAGAGGAATCCACATTGCGACCATTGTAAACAATTAATAGTTCCTCTGTATGTTCTGGATACATGAATACGAACTTTTCCACGAATCTTTCATTTGTAAGACGCATAACATAGCCAAAGCTATGCTTATTCTTGAACAGAAACTTTGATTCCATAGTCTTCAAAACTCGATATCGAGGAATAACTCTTCCCTCCATGCTATACATCAACAGTGCAGGACTACGAGCCACCATCTCCTTTGTCAGATTCACGGTGTTCATAAAGAAATCCAAGCCAGAACTTAACTTCTCATCACAGCGACCCAGCATGGTCGGACATCTTCTGAACATTGCAATGCATTCACTCCTTGAAAACCCAAAACCCTCGAATACAGCAAACTTCCGGTCAAGTGTTGCCACGCTGAAGGAACTAACAGCAGACATCCCATATACAAACATCCGTGATTCCACTGAAAACCCCAAACCCAACGTCCTCGAAACAATGTCTCTAACTTTACAATCTGTCCTAATGAACAACCTAGGCTGCATCTTCAACAGCATCGAGAGCTGAGATCCAACAATGCCACAGCTCTGCAACAAAGCAACGTTCGACAGCAATCTAGTATGTGGGTACATAAATGCAAGCCAACTGCATTTTTCAATAGCCTGAAGCACATCCTTCTGATGGAAAGTTTCCAGCAAAATATGAACTCGAGGACGCAGCTTCTTCTCCAGACTAGCAGTTAACACAGCACCATTCTTAGAGAGGAACTTAACAAGACGAGGACTCTCGAAACCCAATTTCTGAAACAGCTCGATCTTGGGTTTAAGGTTCTTGTCAACGTTAGCGAACAGAATCTGCGGAGCCCCAGAGACAGTAGACTGAATACAGTCAAGAGAGAACCCTAGGCCTCGCAGGAACGCGAACAAAGCTTGGGGCTTTTGAGAAGATTTGAGACCGGGAAATCGAGCGGCGATGGAGAGGGCTTTGGTTTCGGGGAATTCGAATTTTGTAATCAGACAGTCAACTAACCATGTACAGCTTGAACTTGTTGACCTTCCTGCCAGTTCAGAGAAGGGGGAAATGGGGAAAACCCCCACCGGAATCAACCATCGATTTCCGAGACGGGAAGTCGATAGTGCCTTCAGTGCTAGCATTGTGAGTACAAAGCGACAGCGACGCGAGCTTCAGCGACCAGGTTCAGCCTCGGAGGAAGATGATGCCTTTTGACGCCAATGAATCTGAGACGGAGCGATGGCGGTCCGACCTTCGGTGACTAATGGCTAAATCCAGCTTCAGAGGAGACACGACGACCTTCGGAGGATGGCCAACACGCCGCTAAAAGCATATGACTTGGCGCCGCGGCCGATTGACGGAGCAACAAGAGCGGCGTCGCGATCAGGCAGCAGGCTATTTAGAACAGCAGGCGAAGCAGAAGCGAGTCAGTGACTGTACCGACCCCGGGGTTTATTCGGGTTGGCTGCGACGGGGCGGCAAAGAAAGGAGATTAGGGATTTTGAGATGATAGAAATGTTCCAGAAAGTAGAAACCCTACGGCTCCACTCGGTCCAACCTTAATACACGAAATCGGCACTAAATTGATAAGCGATTTTAGTGGTAGGAACCCATTGAATCCGATTTTACAAGATATTCTACTATTGGTTTTGAACGTTGTGTTCCCCCTTGCTGGCGGAACTGGACCACTGCTTGAAGCCGCCGGATGGGACGCCGCCGGTAGGGACGCCGCCGTTCACGCCACCGCAGCCTAGCAAAAAGGCGAAAGCAAGCACGAGCGAAGGATTCTCAGGGGAGGGCGAGATGGTGATCTCTGTCGCCACAGCTCACTACCAGAACTTTGAAGCCGTTGCTGTTGAAATTGAAGGGGGTGAGGAGGATACGATCACCGGATGGAGGCAGACCAGGCGTATGAGATTCCCAAAATCTCTTACAAAGACTCCTTCTTGGGGAATGGTCCGCCGATTGACATCCCTGACGGCGATGAACTCATGTCGGACGAGTCGGAAGATGATTCAACTAATGATGACCCTGAATGTCCCACCATTCGCATCAAGAAAAGCACTGATGCTCGCATCAGAAACAGATGGAGGCACGCAATTACCTTCTGTGTGCTAGGAAAATCCCTCCCATTTGCTTTTGTCCATCGGCGTATCCAAAAAATGTGGGCAAGAACAGGGGGAGTTCGAATTGGTGACATTGGAAATGGATTCTTCCAGGCTTCCTTCGATTCTCAACTCGATCATGATCGAGCGCTTTATGGAGGTCCATGACTATTGACGACCACTATGTTGCGGCGGAACCATGGCGACTGGATTTCGATCCGGATTTCGACACCATCACCAGAGCCTCTGTTTGGGTTAGGCTTCCTAGACTTCCCCTAGCATACTTTGATGAGGAAATCCTCCAGGATATTGGAGACAGAATCGGAAAAGTGGAGAAGATAGACTACAACACGGCTAATGGCTCGAGAGGAAACTACGCAAGAATCTGCGTGGAGATTGATATGAGGAAGCGCCTTGTGTCTAAGTACAGGATCAAAAGAAGGGTCAGAAGAGTGGAATATGAAGAGCTCCACACGGTCTGTTTTGGATGTGGCTGCTATGGTCACTTGGAGGACTCCTGCCCCGCTGCATTTGCCCCAGAAGCAACCCCTGAGGAAAAAATGAAAGCTACACAGGAGAAGGCCCAGGAGCAGAAGATCAGACCTGAAATTCTTGAAGACTTTGGTCCCTGGATGTTGGCGACAAGGGCCAAAAGAAGACCAAGGCAGCAGGGCAGCCAAAAGACCAACAGCCAAGAGAAGAAGAGGGAAGAGCCAGGGGAACAAGGATCCCGGTTTAGTGTCTTGGATGGGGCTGAGGAGATGGATGCTGATGAAGACGCTGGTAAAGCAACCAATGAGCAAGGAAGATTACAGTCCAATTTGGAGGCAACCAACTCAGCAAGCCTCCCTGAGAGAAAATCCACCGAGAAAATTAGGAAGGAAACAAGTGAAGTATCAAATGTGAAAGAGAGTAAGGGAAAGAAGGAGTTGACGACTAGAGAAGGTAACAAAGAGAAGATGGAGAAGGCTGGTACACCCACCCCACCCCATAGTAGCAGGACTGGTAATACACCCAAGCAAGCAAAAAGCAGTGGAGACTACGCTGCCAAAGACACCCCCAAGAGTGCTCTGGGCACCAAATTATCAAAGGAGGCTAAGCAAGCACCCCAACACAAGCAGGGTAAGCCAAAGAGTGGAGTGACCACACATCTCACTGGCTCACCTGGATGTGGAAATGACAAGGGGCAAGCCTCAGGAGCTAGAGCAGGACATCAACCAAAGATGAAAGCTGTAGCTCCCTGCAATGATAGTAAGGAAAAAGCAAAGAAGAAAGTGGGATCCCCTGATGTTGATCTTGGGTGCCCAAAAAAGATCAACTTCGACCAGATCTCTGCTGATGCTGATTTGCTGCCAGAAAGTGCAATTCCACCCAAGATCAGTGCTAATGCAAAGGATCAAGGGAGGGAAGAGATGGCCATGGCCATCGATATTTGCTGATCTTGAATCAGAAAGTCTAGGGAACATCTTTCAGCCTGATCTTATGGTTAAAGTGTTTTCCTGGAACTGTAGGGGTGCTAGACACCCCAAATTTCAGTCTACTTTTGCCTTCTATAAGTCTTTACATCTGCCTGATGTGGTTTGTATTTTGGAGCCAAGAATTAGTGGCAAGGATGCTAAAGAGGTAATCAAAGCCATGGGCTATGATTCCAGTGAAGTGTCTGATGCTTCTGGTTTTAGTGGCGGAATCTGGGTGGTGTGGAACAGCAAGAATATCAACTTGGAACTGGTTGATATGCATAAGCAGTTCATTCATCTGAAGTGTGTTGTGAATAACAGGGTTGCTTTCTTCCTCACGGTGGTGTATGCCAGCCCTAATGAGCATGAGAGAGGAGCCTTGTGGGATGGAATCAGGTTGTTGGATCAGCAAGTGGACAGGCCATGGCTTCTCACAGGTGATTGGAATTCCATCCTCAAACCGTCAGAGAAACAAGGGGGTGCACCCTTTAACATGGCCAAGACTAAAGCTTTCAGCAGCTGTATGGATGACTGCGGATTTATGGACCTTGGTTACACAGGCCCTAAGTTTACGTGGTTCACAAGCAAGTCTAATCTGAAGGAGAGACTTGATAGAAGTATCTGTAACTTGGATTGGCACAGGGAATTCCCCTCTTCCTTTGTCACTCACCTCCCTAAGATCAAGTCAGACCATCGTCCAGTTCTGACTTGCAGCTCTACTGACCAAGGAGACAAGAAACCAGAGAGGAGATTCCAGTTTCTTGCACCTTGGTTGACCCATGAGGACTTCTTCCCCTTCCTGCAAACTGTCTGGAAGAGGAACTCTGAGTTTCATTTTGCCCTTCAAGACCTAACCAAAGACCTCAGAGAGTGGAACCTTAAGGTCTTTGGTAACATCTTCAGAAGGAAGAGAGAACTGCTCAACAACCTCAAATCCCTGGAACTCATTAACTGTAGGAACCCGACCAGGAACTCTACTGCAAAGGAGCAGGAAACAAGAGAAGAGCTGGAAAATACCCTCTGGCAGGAAGAGTTACTCTGGATTCAGAAGTCTAGAGCTAACTGGGTTGTGTTTGGGGATATGAACACAAGCTTCTTCCATAATTCAACTCTCAGTTGAAGGAAACACAATAGAATCCTTAGCTTGAAAGATGGTACTGGGCAGTGGGTGAATGATCCTGAGGCCCTTGAGCTGATGGCTAGATCCCACTATGTTGAACTCTACTCAAGAGAAGAAAGAACAGAAGAAGTCCCCCTTCCAGCTGATTTCCCTTGCCTAGCTGCCTCTAGACTACAATGTGTTGGAGTCATGCCTTCAGTGGAGGAGATCAGGGCCATTGTGATGGAAATGAATGGCCTCAAAGCACCTGGCAATGATGGCTATCAAGCACTGTTCTACCAGAAGTGCTGGCCTCACATTGAAAAGGAATTCACCCTCTTCATCCAAATGTGCTTCAGAGACCACAAAAGGATTGAGTTGGTCAATGAAACCCTCCTGGCTCTGATTCCTAAAGTGGAAGGACCCTGTTCTATGAACCAATTCAGACCTATTAGTCTATGTAACGTGGGGTACAAGGTGTTGGCTAAGAGGATTGCCAACAAACTGAAGTCACTCATGCCTGACCTTGTTCATCCCAATCAGTCAAGTTTTGTGCCAAAACGTCATATCACTGACAATATTATTATTTTGCAGGAGACTGTTCACTCTCTGTCCAAGAAAACAGGAAGGAAAGGGAGCATGCTTCTCAAAATTGACTTGGCCAAAGCCTATGATAGGATTGATTGGCTGTTTCTGGAGGATACACTAAAAGAAGCTCACTTGCCTAATGACTGTATCTCCCTCATTATGGCCTGTGTCACCTCTACCAGATTCCAGGTTCTTTGGAATGGGGGGGCTACTGAAAGTTTCAAACCCTCTAGAGGCCTTAGACAAGGATGCCCCCTCTCTCCATATCTGTTTACTTTGTGCATGGAAAGACTTAGCCATTGTATCCTTAGTGAAGTTAAAAATGGAAACTGGAAGCCTATGAAACTTTCTGGTGATGCCCCCCCCCCCTCTCTCACTTGTTTTTTTGCAGATGACCTTGTGCTGTTTGCTGAAGCCAACTCCAAACATGCTGAGGTTGTCATGTCTTGTATGGAGAGGTTCTGCCTGGCTTCTGGTGAGCTCATCAGTAAGGAGAAATCCAGAGTGTTCTTCTCCAAGAACACAACTAGAGTTACCAGGGGTGAGGTGTGCTCTAGACTTGGGATTCAAGAAACACAAGACCTTGGGAGGTATCTAGGCATGCCTGTTATTCATGGAAGAATTACTAAAAACACTTACAGATTCATCTTGGAGAAAATTGATAACAAGCTGACTGCCTGGAAGGCTAAGACACTCTCCCTTGCTGGGAGAGTGACTCTTGCTTTGGCTGTGTTGAATGCTATCCCTAATTATGCTATGCAAACCTCACCCCTCCCTGCTACTGTGTGTGATGAAATTGACAGGAAAATTAGAATGTTTGTTTGGGGTGGTCAGGCAGGGAAGAAGAAAACCCACCTCCTGTCATGGAGTACTGTGTGCAAGCCAAAGAGCCAGGGGGCCTTGGACTTCGTTCTGCTCGCAGCTTGAACATGGCATACATGATCAAGCTGGCGTGGCAAATTATTAACAATGAAAATGAGCTTTGGGTGCAGGTTCTCCAAGGGAAGTACTACAAACAAAAGGAGGGAGCCATTACCTCGATGAAGAAAAGCAATCACTCGAGCTTGTGGAAGGCAATTGTTAAAGCAATACCTCTGATGAGAAATGGCTGCTGCTGGAGCATTAGGAATGGTGAAACCACCAGTTTCTGGACACACCCCTGGATTGATTGTGACATCAAGCTTGAAGAATTCCTGCTGGATGGACAGTCCATCCAAGAGAATGACTCTTCTGTTGCTGACTGGGTTAATGAAGAAGGTGAGTGGGACTGGGGTAGGTTGAACCAGCTTTTTCCTGATGATATCCTCCATCTGATTGCAGGCATGGAAGCTCCAAATGCACGAACAAGGGAGGACAAGATGATATGGGCACTGGAACGTGATGGAAGATTCAGACTCAAATCTGCATATGCACTGGCTGCAGGTTTGGAAGAGACTGATGAGGACCAGAAATGGACCAAGCTCTGGAGGTGGAAGGGGCCTAGTAGAATCAAGCATTTCCTGTGGCTGGTGCTGCACAATCGACTGATGACCAACAAGGAACGTGAAAAAAGGAAGCTGACTGACAACAAGAACTGCAGCTTCTGCAAGGACAAGGAGGAATCCATTGAACACATTCTGAAGGAATGCCCTGCTGCTGTGCACACTTGGACTAAATTCAAGAACAAGATGAAAATGAACTCTCCTACTATGGCTTTCGAGGATTGGCTGATGACCAACCTTTCGGACATGGAATGTGGTGTTAATTTTGGTATTGTGTGTTGGAACCTTTGGAAGCAGCGTAATGAGCTTGTCATGGAAGGGAAACCTTTTAACCTTCAAGGTCTCTGCTGCAGAATACAAGCTTGGTTTAACATCGTTCAACAAACTCAGGACTGCATCAGGAAAACATCAGCTGGAACCTCCCCTGGACCTACTGTGAAGCAGATTTCCTGGAAACCACCTAGGGAGGGCTGGACTCAGGTTCAAACGGATGGATCAGTGTACACATCCACTGGTGTAGCTGCTGCTGGGGGTCTTCTGCGTGATCATCTTGGAGGCTGCAGCAAGGCTTTTGTTTGTAACCTGGGAAGATGCTCGCTTACTAGTGCTGAACTCAAAGCTGCTGCGATTAGACTCAAGATTGCGTGGGAAGAGGGTCACAGGAAAGTGGAACTAAACCTGGACTCCAAAACTGCCATTTCCATTATTCTTGGCTCGGAGGATGATGATCATAGACATGGATTGCTTGCTGCATCCATTAGGGTCCTTTTGAACCTCGACTGGGAGGTTAAAATTTCTCATGTTTTTAGAGAAATGAATGTTGCGGCGGACTACCTTGCTAATGTTGGTCACCGCTTTACTTTTGGTACACATTTCTTCGATGTGTATGATGCCGGTCTTAGACAATGGCTCTTTTACGATGTAATGGGGATTACCCAAAGTCGTTCTATTACTAATACGAATTAGACGCAATAGCGTCAACCTTTCTACCAAAAAAAATTTTAATTTTTGCTTTCCCTGCTCTTTAACTCCAGCTCCACTCTTCCGCCTCCAGGGGCGGCGGCCGATGGCTCCCTTTGAGTGACCGGTGGCATCTCACCTCCTTCTCCTTTTTCTTTATTTGTGCTTTTCTTGTTCTCGCTTTTCTTGCCTTGGCGTTTGGCGATTTTTCCTCGAACTTTTCGTTTTGATTCTCTTTCTCCAGTCGTTGTGGCCTTCCATTTTTCACTCTCTAGTCTAGTTGTTGCTCTTTGTTCTATGATTCGGTTTCCTGTTATGGGCTTGCTAATCTTGGGATCTGGAGATTACAGGTTGGGAACATTGATTCGCTCCTTGTGATGGTTGATTGCCCTAGTCTGGTGGTCTCATCGTCTACGGTGAAGTTATTCTCTACTTGTTTGTTTAGATTCACTGTGATTGATGTATTTGAGCAATTAACAGGAGGGGACATATGGCGTTGTTGTACTTAATTGTCATGGATTTCGCTGTGATTGGACAAGTTGTTGCTAATCTTATTGCACCTTTGTTTGGTTGGAAGAAACAGAGCTTGTGAGTGTGTTGTCAGTTGTGTCTGGTTCAAAAGCTTAATTGTGTTTGGGTGGTTGATTTCATTTTGTTGCCTTGCTAATCTTTGATGTACCTTTCAAGCACAGTTTAATTTCAACCGGTTTTCCTGAGTTGCTTTGATCTTGGTTTAGATCCAATGTATTTATTTTCTCTCTCTGTAACCGATCTTTCAAAGTACAATACTCCTGTGTATAAAAAAAAACCTTTGATACGATTTCACAATACTTGGATAATAGTATTGTTGTACTCCACTGTTAGTATGCAATGACTATTTTTTTTGCCTTTTGTTTACTACTTTCCGCCTTAAATAATTTGCAAATTTAAATAAACACAAAAATCTCTCTCTCCTAATCACATCGTAAAAATCCGTATCACCTCTGCTCCGCATTGTTACATAGCATGTTCAAACTTTTTAATGACGCCATTCAGAACCACACCCAAAGTAGTTACTAACCATATTAAATAATCGAATTCACAACTCACGAACATCGTTACTCGTACGAGAAAATCGTTGATACCCCATACTAGAAATCAATTAGAACTCCAGTAATAAGCATAGAAATGATTACCAACCAAACTAGGGGGGGAAAAAATCACAGCCAGATTCATAACATTGATATTTAGCAGCATTCTATGTTGCTACACATATTGGATAACTTCTTGCGCACTTTGTCGAATAGAGCCGGGGCCAGCCCTGTTTTGAGCTTTCCTGCATGACGAATAGGTTGACATGGAGTCCTAACATGTTGGCCACAGGCATAACAAAATCAACTTCAAAGGATCTTCTTCCCCGGAAAATCTTCCTTTTTACTGCCACATCAAATGGTGTATATGTCCAAGCATATGAGGGCTATCTCTAGTTGAAAGGGTATTCACATAACATGCCATGCTATGCCATTTCCCCTACAAATAGGCAAATAACAGAAAAACTAGCCATCAAGGAGCATGGATACTGCGCAAAACGGGACAATCTCTCGGACTGTCATCCTCCGACTGCTTTCTGCAGCACCATCACGAGACGATAATACCGAGAGTATCAACACTGCCATATGCTTATCAAGAGCTGAGCAATACAAGAACAAGACAGAACTTGTTAACTCCAGTGTTACCAGCATATCAATTCGGCCCAGATTACTCCAGAAACATGTATATACCATGGAACATGTTAGAAACAGCAGCTAAGGACCAGGTTTGGCTAAACAGTTAATGGCAACAGAAAGTCGAGCAATATCAAGCAAGGGTATCCCAACTTTCAAGCTGAACAGTACATCAAGAACAACAGGTATTACCATAACAACTACTTCAACAGAACCTACGAGAGACCAGAGACTAGTAGAGCCACATGAAGATTATGATGTTATTAATCCTGAAGAGGCAATGCTTCCGCACGTGCTCCCCGTGTAAGTTTCGGAATGTATCTCAAAGAGCAGCACATGCATAAGTTTTTTACAAGCTTGCTATAAAGAGAAGCCCTAAGCACATATCCCGTGTGGGGTTCCCCTCTTTGTGGAATTTAATCATCAGATATCAAACAGAGAGAATCTCTGACAAACACAGAGAAACATAAAGATGGAAAGATATTGGATTCTTCCACTTTGGCAGGATTTCCCATAAGTCTGAAATATTCAAAAGTTTCAAACCAATTTGACACTTACATTCACCATAAACCACAAGAAGTTCAAAGAACCAAGGAGTATAGCTGAACAACTTGAGGTCTTGTAAAGAGATTTCGCAGATGTTTACCAGAACATATGATGAAATTAGTCCCCAGGTGCTTCTTCCTCATCTGTTGTGCCACAGTCAATTTGCATGGGCCCTTTGAAGCTGCCTGCTTACGCTGCTCCAATAATCTCACAGGCAGCTTTCTCCAAGAATTCTTTCGCAGCAGCATGCACAGAATCCGATGAAGGATACTTTTTCTTCTTTGGCATGCTTGTTTCAGTGTATTTCTTTCTCGACCTTCTCCTCTACTAAAACACCTACCAGGAATAAGGTCAAGCAAAGAATGTTGAAGTGGGTGGCAGCCTGGTCACAAAATCATTGCATCAACAATATTGACGGGCATCGACATAAGTTTTCTTGCTGTCATCTCCGCCACATGATCAAATTAGTTTCTTGCACCCAGTCCATCATCATTGACAACCCATCATAATACCAAGGAACACAAATCGTTTTGTTTTTCTTAGTTCGATGTACTAATTTTACAGGACCATGAAATAGGAAATGCCCAACATTTCAAATCGCAGCTTACTTTCAAATCCCTTACATCAAAAGCTTTGGCAACAAGCTTGGAGCCTCATCCAGGTGAAGTATCTGGATCAGATCAAACCACTGACACCTATAGACAAGTTGCACCTTCAGAAGAATCCACATTGTGACCATTGTGAGCCATTAGCAGTTCCTCTGCATGATCTAGGTACATGAATACAAACTTTTGGACAAATTGTTCAGTTGTATAATTCAAAACATTGCTAAATTTTGGCTTCTTCTTGAACAGCCCCTTAGATTCCATAATCTCCACTACTCGATATCGAGGAATAACTCTTTCCTCCATGCTATACATCAACAGTCCAGGCCTACGAACCACTGCCTCCTTTGTCAGATTCACGGTGTTCAAAAAGAAATCCACTCCAGACCGTAACTTCTCACTAGACAACCTCATCATGGCCGGAGCAATTCTGAACATCGCAATACATTCTCCCCTTGAAAACCCAAAACCCTCAAAGATAGCAAACTTCCGGTCAAGTGTAGCGTCGCTCCAGCCACTGACGGTATACAAGCCATGTACAAACATCCTTGATTCCACTGAAAACCCAAAATCCAGAGTCCTCGAAACAATGCCTCTAAGTTCAGATTCTTTCGTCAAAAAAACCCTAGGCAGCATCCTGAGCAGCATCGAGAGCTGAGACCCAACAATGCCACAGCTTTTCAATAAAGCTATGTTTGACAACAATCTCGAATCTGGGAACTTGTATATAATCCAATTGCATCTTTCCGCAGCCCTAACCACATCCTTTTCAGAGAAATTATCCCGCAGAATTTGAAGTCGAGGACGCATCCTCTTCTCCAGACTAGCAGTCAAAACAGCAGAATTCTTAGAGAGAAACTTACCAAGACGAGGACCTTCGAGACCCAGTTTCTGAAACAGCTCGATCTTGGGTTTGAGGTTCTTGTCCACATTACCGAACAGAATCTGAGGTGCCCCAGAGATCGTAGACTGCACGTGGTCATGAGAGAAACCGAGGTCGCGCAGGTACGCGTACAAAGCTTGGGGCTTTTGGGAAGATTTGCGACGGAGGAATCGCGCCGCGATGGAGACGGCTTGGGTTTCAGGGAATTCGAAAGTTGTAATCAGGCAGTCAACTAGAGCAGCAGTGCTTGAACCTGTTGACCTTTCGACCAGTGTAGAGAAGGAGGCGATGAAAAAGGGTCTTAGAGGGATCAACCGTCTATAGCTGAGAAGGGAAGTTGGCATGCCCTTGAGCGATATCATTGTGAGTACAAAGTGACACAGCAACCACGTTCAGCCTTCTTCAGAGGAGACGCGGCGGCTTACGGGATTTGGTAGTGTAGGAGTAGAGAAATTCGACGCGATTCGCAGAGAATGAGAGTTTCTCATGAAAAAAATTCGGCGGCCAGTCGGCTATGAGGGAGACGGTTTGGGCGGGTTGGGTTCTGGGCTGGATTTAAGATTGGGCTTATACTGGAGTTGAATGAGACTTCACGAGTTATGTTCGATAAGGTGATTCTAGTTCGCATGCTGAAAAATGAAAAGTGAAAACCTATCTATGACACCTTCTCAGAGGAACTAAAGCTTCTTATGTTGATAAACTTCATCATCTTACGGCCAAATGGAATGGTGAATGATATTGAAGCATACTAGGGCCATCTCAAGTTGAAGGCAATCACAAAACATGCCATACAAATACAATTTCCTCTACAAACAGCCATACTAGATAACATAAAAACTAGCCATAAAGGAGCATAGAGCAATTGTACTAACTAGAGAAATACAGTTCAGATTATAGGAAACAAGGCACAATCTCTATGCCAGTTGAACTTCGAAAGGGCTTCTCGTTTCACAGGGTGGTCATCCTCCAACTGCTTTCTGCAACACCCCCAGGAGAAGGTAATAACCAGACAAGAGCAACATAAGATCCAAGAAGGCAACTTGTCCGCCCAATCATGCCAGCAAATCAGTTCGGCCCAGACAATTCCTGCAAACGTATATACCAAGGAGCATGTTAGAAACACTACTAAGGATCAGGTTAGTTAAACAGTTAATCGCAACGGAAAGTCGAGCAATATTAAGCAAGTTCACTACGGCTATGGCTATGGTACAATCATAGCATGGGTTGTAGTCTTGTAGAACACTTCAGAATTGGCATCATACTACGGCTTTCCAGTTTTCAAACTGAAAAAATTCAGGCCATCAACTTCAACAGGAGGTATTACAGAAACACCTATTTTAACAGAACCAACGACAGATCAGAAACTAGTAGATCAACATGAAGACACACAACACGAACTTCATTCAACATATTAATGCACATCCATCTCTGTGAAAGTTTAACAAAGAGTTGAGCATCGTACACAGTTCACAATAAACAGAGTGTGAGATAAATAAAAGAACTGCATCAACTAGTTGCGTTCTACATCCAAAGGTAAGTGCTAGCATGCAGATTCTATGAAAGATTTAACATTCGTTCGTTATTTGTATCAAAAGAAGGACAGATATATCAGTTATATTCTTTCCTTATACATCAGGAAATTACCATCTCAACAGAACCAACGATGGATCATAAACTAGTAGAGCCACATGAAGACACACACCACGAACTCCATTCAACATATTAATGCACGTCTATCTCTGTGAGTGTTTAACAAAGGGTTGAGCATCATACACAGTTCACAATTAACAGAGTGTTAAATAAATAAAAGAACCGCAGCAACTAGTTACGTTCTACGTCCAAAGGTAAGTGCTAGCATGCAGATTCTATAGAAGAAATATGAAAGATTAACATTCATACGTCATTTATATCAAAAGAAGTACAGATATATCAGTTATATTCTTTCCTTATCCATCAGGAAATTACTATCTCCTATCGCTCCTTATAATACGACTTTAAAAGATATCATTCCACCCGAGCTTTATGGGAAGACTCTTGACATGCTGTCTAAGACGGAGCAAGTACAGAAAGGAGATGGACAAAGAGACCACAGGCTCCCCAATCAACTTACAGGGCTTTGAAGCCTAGACTTGACTTGACGCTACTAGTAAATAACCTATATTAGTTTCTACACTATTTGGAACAATCCTTTTCACAGATTATGATGATGCTATTGCTCCTGAAGAAGCAATACTTCAGACACACGTGCCCCCCGAGGAAGTTTCAGAACATATCCCCAATACTTGACACATGCATAAGTTTTGCAATCTTACTATAAAGTGAAGCCCTAAGCACATATCTTGTTTGGCGTTCCTTCTCGTTTTGGAATTCAACCACCAGTTATCATATAAAGAGAATCTCTAACAAATGCTAGGTAACGTAAAGATGGAAAGAGATTAGATTCTTCCACTTTTGCAGGATTTACCAAAGTTGAAAATATTTGATGGTTTCAAACCAGCTTGGCAATTCTATTCGCAATAAATCACAAGTTCAAACAATCAAGGAGTAAAGCTGAACATGAAACTGAGGTCTCGCTAAGAGTATTTGCACAAATTACCAGAACATATCATGAAATTAGGCCCCAGGTGCTTCTTCCTCATCTGCTGTGTCACTGTCAATTTGTATGGGACCTTTGAAGCTACCTGCTTGCCCTCCAACAATCTCACGGGCAGCTTTCTCCAAGAATTCTTTGGCAGCAGCTTGCACAGATTCAGATGAAGGATACTTTCTCTTCTTCGGCAAGCTTGTCTCAGTATAGTTCATCCTGTGCCCTTCTCCTCTACTAATATCTCTCATGTTTTTCCTTTGTTCTGCAGCCAAATTTGAGCATAACTCACTCAATGTATGAAATGGACAGAGCAAGTAATGCCACCACAAAGAAGGGGGAACAACACCTACCAGAAGTAAGGTCAGGCAAAGAATGTTCAATGAAGCGGGTGGCCGCCTGGTAATTCAAGGTGGTGGATCGTCGTAATGGGGCTTCATGAACAAATACAACCCACATCATGAACAAAGGAAATAAGACATGAATCAATAGCACGAAACAAAAGAGGAATCATCCATTCGAATTCAGCAACCATTGCCTTCTACAGAGAAACAAAAGGAGAGGAAAGACAAGCACCTTTGCTCAAATTCATCATACGGTCCAACTTCTGTTCATACAAGTTCAGTCTTTCCTGCATAAACAAGATCGTAGCACAAGACACTTGTTAAATGCATCAACTTTGGCCATTCTGATACATCAAGAACAAGAAGCACATTCAAGAACCAAGATCTCTCCAAACATAACACCCGAAATATGAAAAAGGTAACAGATTCAGATACACAGACAACAACAGAAATCGCCATCACCATGCGCCACACACAAGAATTGTCAGAAATTGAATGGAAAAGTAACGAAAGGAAAGCAAAACATTATGTATTCGGAGACATACGAGCTCGCCCTTGACTGGATGGTCGTCTGGGTGAACTCCATTGCACCTCAATCTCACTGAAAGTTGCACAAATTCAAATCCGAACTCCGCAATTACAAACCCAATTGTGAATCTCAATGAAATGGCAAACAAACAAGAAAAGGACCAACTTTAGAGAGGGATACATACATGCAAAGAGAATGGTTGTGGCCTTGGCAACCATTAACAGGGCCTGAGCCCTTTCGAGAGGAGGCAACTCGGAAATAGCATCATTATCAGTGAGGGACAGGAACTGAAGCAGGTTCGTCTCCACTTCTTCCAAGTTGGTTAAGGTAGTCTTCACTGAGTCCATCGCTGAATCTGGGATTATCGCACTCATATCGGTGTCTCCCATTCTGGGTTTTTCGGCCGCAAACGCGAACAAGTTTCGAACCTTTCGCTCAATAACTAAGAGAAGAAGACGTTCTCTAATTTCTCAGAGAGAGATGCTTTAGGGTTTTGTCCTTTTTGCCGAGCTGCAAATTCTGAGGTTTATATTCGGGTAATGCAAAAGACGGGATGCGTTAGGTAATGGCGGCCGTTATATAGAGCTTAACAACGGCGTAACACGTATGATGACACACACTAACACCATTGGTCGAAGGTTTACGTTTTTCTTTTCTTATTATCTTTTTTTCTATCCTTTCTACCTGAACTGAACTACTTTCTTTTTTTTTTTTTTTTTGACAAAGAGGGTGCTTATATTTCACCAGCCTAGTTATTCTGCTAACTTGAAAATTCGTTAGTATATACTAACTAATATCCAAAATGTATGAACAAATATCCAAGTCTGCTGAGTATCTAGATAGCACAGACTAGTATTCTAAACATCATAAACTAGTATCCAGATAGCAGATACCAACTAATATCCACAATCAACCAACTAGTATTCAATATGGATACTATTATGTGTTATCTGGATATTCTTATGGGTTATCTGGATACTAATTATGTGTTGTATTGATACTATTCTGTGTTGTCTAGATATTAGTTTATGAATTTGGGATAATAGTTGATTCATGGTGGATATCAGTTAGCAAACTTTGAATACTAGTCTGTGCTCTCTAGATACTTTAGTACTTGGATACTAGTTCATGTATTTTGGATATCAGTTAGTATCTGCTAACGAATTTTCAAGTTAGCAGATTAACTTTTCCCATATTTCACTCCAACAGAAACTCGGTTACAACGAAAGGGATACACCCTGAAAATCAACAACAAGAAAGAGATCCACCAGTACAAAGAAAATGGAGAGAAAAGGCCCAGAAGCAAACAGAAGGGCGACCCAACAACAACATGAACAGAAAGACAGGGGAACCGTTTTCATGAGCCGAAAACAGAGGATCCAGCAACCATTGTAATCGCATCAAACAGAGTGAGACACGGCAGAACATCAGCTCGCCCAAACCCAGCCTTGACCATGGAAATTGAGCAAAGCAACACCATATGCCGCCTTCTGGGGGTAGTTCAAAGACACCCATCACAGTGAATCGCCGACGAGGGATTGCGCGGCGGTGGACAGGACTGAGATCGGATTGCTCAGAGCTGAAAAACGGCAAACGGGACTGGAACGGAGAGAACCATGAAACAGCAGTGAAGAGATGCATCTAAGGGTTGAACCGACCAGAAGAAAAGAGCCACAAGCAAAGGAAAGGAGAAAAGAGCAGAACCAACCAGAGGAAACGATCTGAAGAGACAAACGCCAACAGAGAAAACCCAAACAAAACCAAAACCCAGAACCCGAAGTAGCAGACCCAACAACAACCCCAACACCCAAACAAATCAACCCAAGATGAATCTCAGAACTACGACAACAATGGTGCAGCCGCCTCAGCAACAAGAGGAGACTCCTCTTCCACAACAGCCAATCGACGCACCGAGGAACGACGACGGGAGGGGAATCGGTGAATGCAATCATCCTATAAGATGACCGCACCAAACTTGGATAGAAACCCAGTTTGCATCCTCCGAACCCAGAACAGAGCAAAGCCAAACCAGATCTTGAAGATCTGGAGCAGAATCCGGACAAAACCTCCTCAATTAAGAGGGATGGGGACAATCCCACTTAGGGGAAGGGAAAACGCCATTACGGCTGGAAAAAGCCAAGGAAGGCCAGGAAAAACAGCTGAAAAACGAAAGAGGAAGCTGAGGAAGAACAGGAGAGCAGCAGGAAAGAAGAGAAAATTTGGGCTACCGCCGGTCACCCAGACGTGCCGGCGGCAGCCCTAACGGGAGGCAGCTGAAGAGGTAGAGAGAGGGCAGAGAGAACCTGAACTGAACTACTGAAGAGGTTAATTTTACCTATTTCTTTCCTCCCTTGGCTCCTTTGGTGCGTTTGATTCAATTCATATACAATAGTAGTATGTTGTAAGTACATGCTAATATCTGTTAGATCGCTAATATATTCTCTAACGCTCCATTGATTTGTTAGTAAACACTTTTATTGAATTTTCTTTATAACATATGTTACTTCTTACTTTTTGACGCACCTTTAGTCCATGATAAGTTGATAACTCCTTGCGGTTGAGATAGTGTAAAACTTTCTAGGATGATGCATGTTGAGTAACACATGGTTGCAAGTCTTTCTTCACTGTGTGATACTTTATCGAGAGCATCGGTTGCTTAACGTGATGTTAGTTGGATTTTTCCTAATGTAGTGATGACATTATAGTTTATAAAGTGGTTAGGTTTTCTAATGCAAGTCTTTCATTCCCAATTATTCATGCATAAAGATCATCGCATGTATGCTTGACTTTTGATTACATCTATAGCTAAATAACAACAAAATCAAATCGATTAAATAGTTATTACAAAAGGAACATCTTATCAGTAAGCAAAGGAAGGAAGCCACCAAGTATCGTGAGGAGATTGACCGACTAGTCGCTGAAAAGGAGGCCATCAAGATAGAAAATGCGGACTGGCAAATTACAACACGGACACTAGAAAACAACAGGCTCAATAAAGAATGGAAGGTTAACCGTCTCATGGAAGTCATTACTCATTAGTACTACTACTTGGTTACTGTCCAAAGACATTATTACTTAGATTACCCACCATTAATGATTTGTAGCTAATGAACAACAAAATCAAATAGATTAAAAATATTGGCCACAAAAAGGGCAAATAGTTATTATAGAAAAATTATTGTAAAGCACAACCATTACAAATTGAGGCGGTAAATGATATTAATGTCGTTAATAATTATTTATCAACTCAATATCGATCAATCATAAACAAATTACTAATGACATCCTCATTGGTTACTAACCATCTCATATTATCATAACATATTCCTATAGATGGTTTGATTTTTTTGTTAAGTACCATAAAATTTACTTTTTATTCGCGGCAGAGAAGTGTCAAAAGAGAACGTAACAGCAGCTAAAAAAGGGAGGAAAGTACAAGTTCTCTAACACTCACAATTCTCAAAACGTAAAATAATCGGACTTCAAAATCAAACGATATTAACTATTAAAAACACATTAACAAAACTTCACATGCCTTGTGAATTCTTACTTCCTCCTTTGTTAATTGTGGTTTATTCTATATTTTGGGTTTGGAAGATTTATGGCTAACAAACTAGAAGAAACACACTTTCACTCACCTTAATTGTTGCTTCTAAGGAAAAGATAATTTTACTGAACAAAAAAATCTGAAAAATATCAGTACTTGGCGCCGAAATGTCGTTTCTTTTCCATCAACCGGATAACCTCCCTAGGGCCTTCCACTGCCATATCCTTCCGCCGGAGCCGGTGTACCACCTCGATTCCCCGCCCATAACGTCCAGTTCTCCCTCCACTCAACTCCTAGGGGTTCTGCGGAGAATGGAAACCATTTGTTCCCTCTGCACTTGGTTGTTCTCTCTCGGTCAATTCGTCGAGCACCTGTAATGCAAAATATCTTGTCTGCTTTCACTGGTAATCGTTCTCCATGGCCGTGCTAATACTATGCTCTTCTACTGTATGCTGCGGCAGTGTCAATTATACTCTTGCGCTCACAGAGCACATTAAATTTTCTCCTTTGAGCTGTAGTGAAGTGTCTTTAGGGAGTGTAAAGGTTGCAAATTTGAGGTTCTCGTCATCTGGGTATCTGGCAAATGGAAAGAAAATCAGGAAACGGAAATTGGGTTTACGTGTGTTTGCGGCAGAAAGCCAACCCCTTGAGGTGGCAGTGACAGGGAAACTTGGGAATCGGGTATCCTCTGAGGATGTTGTTAGCTTTCTTAGTTCAACTTCAGACTTGACTGCTGCTTTCTCCTACTTCAATTGGGTTTCGAAGTTTCCTAACGTTGTTCACACCACTCAAACATGTAATCAAATGCTTGAGCTCTTGAGGGGTCACGGAAGGGTTGCAGACATGGTAACCGTGTTTGACATGATGCAGAAGCAGATCATAAGGCGGAGTGTTGATACATATTTGATTATTTTCAAGGCCCTCCAAATTAGAGGTGGGCTCAGGAAAACACCATTTGCGCTAGAGAAGATGAAAGAAGCAGGGTTTGTTTTGAATGCATATTCGTATAATGGCTTGATCTACTCACTACTTCAATCTGGCCTTTGTCGAGAAGCGCTAGAGACGTATAGACGAATGGTCTCAGAAGGTCTCAAGCCGAGCCTTAAGACTTATTCCGCTCTTATGGTAGCATTGGGGAAGAGAAGGAACATAGAAGCAGTGATGGATTTGTTGAAAGAGATGGAGAGTATAGGATTGAGACCAAACGTTTACACATACACCATATGCATTAGAGTGCTAGGAAGGGCTGGTAAAATCGATGATGCTTGCAGGATTATGAAGAGAATGGATGATGAAGGCTGTGGACCTGATGTCGTTACTTATACAGTTCTTATTGATGCTCTTTGTACAGCAGGCAAGCTTGACAAAGCTGCAGAATTGTTCTTAAAGATGAAGGCTAGTCGTCACAAGCCCGACAGGGTAACCTATATCACTATGCTGGACAAGTTCAGTGATTGTGGGGACCTGGATATGGTCAAAAAGATTTGGAAGGAAATGGAAGCTGATGGTTATGTCCCTGATGTAGTTACTTATACCGTGTTGGTAAGTGCTTTATGCAGATCAGGCAATATTGATGATGCATTTCGTACATTGGATGTCATGAGGAAACAAAACATTCATCCAAATCTTCATACGTACAACACTTTGATTTGTGGACTCTTGAGATTGAACAGGTTAGCAGTTGCACTAGATATATTTAAGGATATGGACAATGCAGGTGTTAAGCCCACAGCTTATACATACATCCTTTTCATCGATTACTATGGGAAATCTGGTGATTCTAGAAGAGCCATTGAGACCTTTGACCTAATGAAAACAAGTGGGATTGCTCCTAACATTGTTGCTTGTAATGCATCTCTATACAGCCTCGCTGAAAGTGGCAGGCTTGGAGAAGCCAAAGCTATTTTCTATGGGTTGAAAAGAAGTGGGCTTGCTCCAGATTCAGTGACCTACAACATGCTGATGAAGTGCTACAGTAAGGTGGGGCAAGTAGATGAAGCTATTAATTTACTGTCTGAGATGGTGGGAAATCATTGTGAACCTGATGTCATGGTGATTAATTCTCTGATTGATATGCTTTACAAAGCGAGTCGAGTGGATGAGGCATGGGAAATGTTCAGTAGAATGAAGGGCATGAAACTTGCACCTACTGTTGTGACCTACAACACACTGCTAGCAGGTTTGAGAAAAGAAGGTAAAGTCCAGAAGGCAATTGATTTATTTGAGAGCATGAAGGCACAAGGGTGTTCCCCAAATACAGTAACCTTGAACACACTACTAGATTGCCTTTGCAAAAATGATGAGGTTGATTTAGCCTTGAAGATGATGTATGAAGTTAACTGTGGCTGTGATGTTCTCACTTTCAATACCATCATTCATGGTTGTGTGAAAGAAAATAGAGTTAATGATGCGATTTGGGTCTTCTATCAAATGAAGAAGTTTCTTAGGCCTGATCAGATTACTTTGTGCACCTTGCTTCCTGGTATTGTAAGGTGTGAGCAGATTGAGGGGGCTTTCAAGATTGCTGAGGAGTTTGTTCATGGATCACGGGTGGATGGTTCTTTCTGGGAAGATTTAATGGAAGGGATTTTAACTGAAGCCGGGACAGAGAAATCTATTGCATTTGCTCGAAGGGTGGCAAGCGCTAGGCTCTGTTTGGATGACTCCATATTGTTTCCTGTCATCAAAGTTTTCTGTAAGCGTAGGAAGGCATTGGAAGCTAAAAATGCATTTTCAATGTTTACAAAGGAAGTGGGAATTGCACCAACGAAGAAATCTTACAACTGGCTAATTGCTGCTCTGCTTGCAGTGCGCAACTCTGATGCAGCTTGGAATCTTTTTGAGGAAATGAAGGCTCAGGGTTTAACTCCTGACGTATTCACCTACAACAATTTACTCAATGCTCATGGGAAGTCTGGCAAGATTAATGAGCTCTTCAAACTATATCAAGAGATGATCTACAAAGGGTGCAATCCAAATGATATAACCCACAACATAGTTATCTCCAACCTTGTGAAATCCAAATGCATGGATAAGGCCATGAATTTGTTCTATGATCTCATTAGTGGTGGTAGTGATTTCTCTCCCACTCCTTGCACCTATGGCCCACTAATAGACGGTCTTCTAAAATCTGGGAGAATCGAGAGAGCAAAACAGCTGTTCGAGGACATGGTGGAATACGGTTGCAAGCCCAATTGTGCTGTGTACAACATTCTCATGAATGGATTAGGGAAGAAAGTTGGCGATGTGGATACTGCCTGTGAATTGTTTCAAAGGATGGTAAGAGAAGGAGTAAGACCAGACTTGAAAACTTATTCCATTTTAGTCGACAGCCTTTGCTTGGCAGGGAGAGTGGATGAAGCTCTGCACTACTTCGAGGAATTAAAGCAGACTGGTTTAGAACCAGATGTGATTGCATACAACGTGATGATAGATGGACTGGGGAGATCTGGTAGGATAGAAGAAGCTCTTGCATTTTTCGAAGAAATGAGAAATAGGGGTCTCAAACCTGATCTCTACACATATAATTCTCTGATTCTGTATCTCGGGATTGGTGGAATGGTGGAACAAGCAAAGAAGATGTACGAGGAGCTGGAAATGGTGGGCCTCGAGCCTAACGTGTTCACTTACAATGCTCTGATCCGGAGTTACAGTGTTTCGGGGAAATCTGATCTCGCTTATGTTGTCTATGAGAAGATGATGGTTGGCGGCTGCAGTCCTAACGATGGAACATTTGCTCAGCTTCCTAATACGTCGTAAAGCTCGTCATCGATCTTGCAGTGGTTACCGAGTCGAGCACTGAACTTTAACTAATTTGTCATGGTTGTACTGATATAACTCCCCCTACGGAGCTCTGTCAGGTTTAGCATTGGCAACAACCGCCAGATGATGACAGATCGAATGACGTTGACTACAGCTGCCTGGGACAGATGCAACTAATGGATGGATCATCCTGCACAGAAGCTGTGAGAGGTTGGAGCTGGCCATGGAGTATGTGCAATTTCGGTCCATGGTTCGTCCACTGACCTAAAAATTATTCCTGTGCCAGGCTCACTCGGATGTGTTTTTTTGCACAGTGACGATGTAATTAGTGATAATTCTGTCGCTGTATATAGTTCGGTTTCTTGCCTGAATTTGCTCAGATGTTGAGTGAAGTGAAAATACGCCATTTGCACAATCTTGATTCGATCTAGATGTGATATTCTTTTTGGTCAGGTTTGCTGTGTCATCTCTCACTCAATACTCTGTTACTAAGGTGTTTTCACCGCAACTCGATTGTGTCACGATTCTCTACTGATTTCGTAAATTGTTGCAAGATCTTGACTTCCATCACCTGCAATCTCGACGTCTTCTTGCCTGACAACCGAAGCCGAGTCTCCTGTGAGTTTATATTCTTTGTGACAATGGAACTTTGTTGCAATAATCAACCAAAAAGAAGGCACCTCCTCCGCCAACAAAGGCAAAACATTATACTTTCCTTACCGTGGGCCTTTTATTGGGCTCTAACGATTTTAATGGAGGGAAAACCGAACAGAGATCCCCTTCCTCTCTCTCTCTCTCTCTCTCTCTCTCTCTCTCTAATTCCATCCCCCGAAACCTCCTGTCCTCCTCCTTCTACACTGATTTCCCGTTCCCTTCGTCCAAATTCCTACCTTTTGCCTTCTGATTATCTCTAGGATCGTTATTTTGTGCTTACAGAGAGGAAGGTGATGAGAATGCCTGCGTTGGGTTCTCATAAAGTCTCCATCTTTTCGCCACCATCGCTGTGAGACCTTCAGATCCTAATCCCAATTCGGAGTCCTCTGTTCCTGCCTCCAATTCACGGCAAGACTAATTCTTTTACGTTCGTATTCTCTAGGGTCGCGCGTTATAATTGAGACAATGAAGACAAATATCAAGAAGAGAAGAGTGGCTGTGGCTTCTTCGTACCAGTCTGAATCTTTCGACGACGAGGAAGCTAGGTTTAGAGAGAGACAGAAAGTACTCTTTCAGGAGTTCTTGAACTTGCAGAAGGTTATTCGTTATTAGTGTCTATCTTCGTCCTGTTACTACATTGGTTCCGTTGTTTATGAATCTTGAACTTGCTTCCTGTCTCTTTCAGGAATTTGCGTCGAAGCAGAAGAAGCTCGAGACTGCCAAACAGAGGAGGCAGACGCTTATGGATGAAGTCCGGTAAGTATATATCTGACAATGTGTCATTATGGGTTCGATACAGATTGTTTTCTGTATTCATTTTGAATTCTCTTTATGTTCATCAGATTCCTAAGACAAAGGCACACACATCTGCTGACGATGCAATCTGATGAACAAGAGCAGCAAGGAGGACTTTTGTCACCACCACTACGAATTCGAGCCAATGTTGGTGGGGAGCCATTGATCACTGAAGCAGTAAATAGGATGCCTTTGAATGGTTCGATTAGCAGTAAAAGAGGTCAAAAGAAGAAGAAAAAGAAGCCAAAGACGGAGCGTAACGATTTCCTGGCAACTCATGAGCTGCTGTCCATGGAATGAACGAAACAAATGTCGTTGCAACCGAGAATTCTTTCCCTGTTTTATGCTCTGTTTTCGTGTAGTAAGAGTTTCGAAGAAGCCTTTATATACATCTGGAATAGAAATGGATATCTTCATTCCACATGCAAAAAGATGCTCAAACAAACAGATTCAGCAGGAATTAGCCTATATCTGGAAGAGATATGGTTTATCATCATTCCCACAAGGAAAAAGATTCTGAAACAAACAGATTCAGCAAGTTGACAATTTAGACCCGAAGAAAATAGATCTAAGAGTTAACAGTTGGAAATACAACAAGTGGAGGCATGATGCAACTCGAAAAGATCTTCCAGTATAAAGCCACGAAGGAAACAATGTCTGTCAGTCAACAAGACCTGTACAGAGTTTCTAAAATGAGAGATGATGTGGTTCCGAAAAAAGGTAAGCACACAATCTCCAAGCAGTAGTACCATGGATTAGAAACAAGGTCTCTTTGCGTTTTTACAAAGGGAAGCAAAGGGCACATCTGAGGAACAGATTGTCGACGAGAGAATGTAGTTTACCATACAAACAGCAAGCACCATCCTGCTTGCAACCTCATTCATTCAGCTCCCACAAGTCTAGTAGGTACAACGGTTTCGGGAGGGTTAACAGCAGCAACTTCGGCTTTAGAGGTTTGCTCGTCTGCATCAGCAGAGCTACTACTCGGCTCAACTGATTTCTTAAACTGAACCAATATCATTGTCATATTATCACATCCCTCACCCCCTGCTGTAGATGGTGCTAAACACCTGTCGAGCACCCTCTCGCACACTGTTGAAAGCTTTGCTTCCTGCCGAATATTCCCAGATTCACATTAGGGAAATATGAGTAAGAATAGGGCTAAAAGATTGTTTATAGGAAAAATCATGAAGGTAATCGAGGGTTATATCCATTCAAAGAGTGATCCCAATAGTATGGGACCCAGTACAGGGGCTAGAAGTACTCACCGACTTTAGTTGTTCATGAATGAAGTCGACTAGTTGCTGGCTTGACAAGCAGTCCCTGTAAACAAAACACCAGGTCCAGTTCTTATGTGCATTCAAAAACACCTAGCAATAGTTGTTTCAAATGAATACGGCAATGTTTGTATGTTATGAACAGTGGACACTAAATTCATGGTCGATCTGTTATTATCCACACACAATCGGGTCGGCTATAAAGTGACGGAAGTATAAGCCTCATTGTTGTAATTTCCCAAGGGGTTAGGGCATGTTCACTACTGAATTTATTAAAGAAGATGAAGCAGGATGCCATTGAAGATCTCATGTGAATCATTGACCTATATAAGTTATTCCTTAGGTTAGGTCGAGCCGTCGAGGATGGGGATAAAAAACAGAAGTTTGACCACAGGGCCAAATGCTCGTTTTGACTGAGGCACGGCATTTTGCACAAAAAAACACAAAATTTTACTAGACAAGGGTAGCCCTGGGAAGTAGTAAAATTTCCAAATCAAATCCAAGAATTAAGACGAGAGTAGCATAAGATCACAGAAGGCAGACAAGAGAAACATAGTAGAGACTCGTACCATACTCCATCGCAGGCTAGAACAATAAAATCATCATCCTCACAAAGCTCAACCTGGTCAAATAATGATCAAATGTGAGTACAGAGATGGCAACTGGAGGTGCAAAAACCCAAATGTAAACTATAGTTAATATAAGATTGGGAAGGTATTCCATAGAGTATAGCATACAGTGTTAATATCGGGATTGGCTGTCACAATTTGCTTTTCTGCAGGTAAGAACTTGTTCTGCTTGAATTCCATGTCACCTGCATGAGCGAAAAGAAGAGCAATTGAAGAAACATAAGAAGAAACCATATATGTTTATTTGTATTCAGAAATACGGTCACAGAATGACAGCAAACTATGAATAAAAAAGAAAGAGGGGGAGGGGTGGGGGGTAGGTACCAATTGCTCTCGAAAGATTCAAGCTGCCATTGACACGTCCTGCATGTATGAAGCCACCAGCTTTTAAAATCCTTTCTTTTTCAGCCTCAAGATCAGGTTTGTGATCTCTGGACAGATTGTATGCCTGCACCAATAAGTGTGAAGTCCTCCTTATTGCACTGCCATCCCCAGGTCATAGGCATTTGGAGAACAGATACTAGCAGAGCAGCACATGGTTCTCAGGCTGTTGAAGCTTCAGTGCCAAACACTTATTCAAGTCCATTACCAATCAGTTAACTGGAAAAAATACCTGTCCCTTCCGTGATATCACGCATCGAGAATCACCAGCATTTGCAACAACAATATGTTTATCTCTTATAACTGCAACACAAGCCGTGCAACCAGAGGTAGGTCCAGAAAAATCAGAATGAGGGCCCTGTGCAAATTCAAATTAAATGAGTTCCTGATCAGAATATCTCAAATTTCCTGCAAAATTGAGCAGGTAATCCAAGACCCATGCATAGTTTGATGCAGTAAATGATCCTGAGCAATAATGATGCTCATATAATGAATCTGATAAGTAAACACAATAATAATGCTCCACGGAACACATGTACATTAGGGACTTTCATGACAAAACTATGGCAAGAATATCAATGGGTCTAAGTCCCAGATTCCAATATCAACAAATGGCTGAACAATACTTGACCAAAAGCTACATCATAAGCTGGAATGTGATAACAGGTTAAATACTACACCTCTTCAAAAGCCCAATCATTATGTTGCTCACTATTCTCACCAGCCCTTGGAGACCATATCAGCCCTTCAATCATGCCACTGAACTTGTTTATCTTATCGCCCAAAACAGCTAACTCTCTCCATCCTCTTTGTCCACGCATCATCTCATCCATTCTGCAGAGAAACCAAGTCAGCAAGGAGTGCAGAAGATAGCCACAAAAAAATAAATATTCTAACGGGAAACACTGCTCCAGAGCAGGGTTACCAGGAAATGGACTCTAGTATACGATGTTCCAATAGCACTAGTAAAAATAGAATTGAACATTTTTTGACCGTAACAGAAAAATAACAACGACCTAAAAGCAAGTGCCAAAGAACTCCAAAGTTCTTGTAATTGTGTAAATAGTTTTACAAACCCCATACAAGTTCTCAAACAAAAAGGAAAAGACAACACCCTTGAAAGAAACAAACATGGGTTCTTCTACAGTTGATAACCTACCCCACCATAAGACATACAAATGCATGAATGAGATTAAAGATTTCTGCATGCACAAGCATTAGATGAATGAGATTACATGATTCAACATCAACATATTCTGCATATGTTTTGACAGTATGCCTGAGTGCATTGTGCTTATGTTGAGCTACACAAAATGGCTGCTTATATCTTGATGCAACACTGGGATAGAAGTGTCAAAATAAGAATGCAAGAGTAGCTCCCAGCTGGTCTAACACTGTACTAGATACATCACTATATCAAAGGAAAATATCCATAACCTGAAAAATGATTTCTGGAGAGAACTTCCTATATCACCAGCTATGTATGCCTCATGCTTAAGAACCTGCTGATGAAGAAATTTGGCACAAAATTTTGCAACCACTTTACCTGCAAGTCACCCAAAGAAGCGTAGGACTGTTCAACCTCAACCACCAGATGCACAATTGTACAGCACACTCTAAGTGCCAAAGATTGCAAAACTTCAAAATTACCTCCATGACCATCATAGACACCAAAGAATGAAGTAGAAGTATCCAAATCAGGCAAAGCAGCATGCTGAACATTGTGAAGAGAGAGAAGTACCATGTCAAATAGTGAGATAGCATGCGTAACCAGCAGAGAACGTTTCAAATAAATTGTGTGGAAAATACATAGATGAATCCATTGTACTACTGGATAAGATTGAAAAGAGATACCGAAACCAAAACGTGAAGCAAACAAAACTCGCATAACATATTATCTTAAACTGAAAGTTCGAAACTTTTCTCTATCCACTCTTATCACCACTTCAGTATGTTGAACATCGAAATTTCAAGAATAAGTGACTAACCGCATCTTCCATGGTTGCACGCCATCCTTGCATGGATGATAAGCCATATCTGAGCTTGCCATTTTCTCCATCCTCCGAGAATTTCTCGGTTTTGGGAGAGCTTAGGTATATACCCATCTCTGTCATCACCAACAGAAAACAGAAATAAGAGATTAGATATGAAACAACTCCGTTCAAGATATTGAAAAGGGACAAATAATTAACACATTCAGATAGTTGAATTATAACATTCTACTTGCGCATTATGCTTCTACAAAAGAGGAAGGAACACATAGAGTCATAGACTACCCTACATAATTTCAGTGAACACTTCCGAATTTCCCAGCAAACAAATTTGGTCCATCCTTAGTCCCACCCACCAACATTCATTTCATTTCAAAACATACAACCATAACTAAAAAGAGGGGGTGTAATCTCGGATCATCCTACAAATCTAAGGCTGTTTAAAATAAACAACACAGAGTTAACAATACTAACTGGAAGCTACTGATTGGGATAAAAAAACATGAAAACCAAAGATCAGGATCGAAAGATTATCTTGCCAACTTCAAGAGCAAAAGCAACTGCTTTCTCAAACAAAAATACCAACTGAATGGCACAAGATTCAGATCAGATGCTGATAACAACGTTATTCAGTCTAACCCTTCCAGAAAAAGGGAACCTACCGAATAAAGGCACCAACTTTTAGCCCTACCAACTGTTCAGGTCAAAATTTTCATTCCAAGATGGCAACTAACCACAATCACAGCAAATACCCAGATGATAAATTTGAAACTAAATTTATGAGAAACGAGGGGGGAAAGCAAACACTCGCCTGCCCTACTTAGACGAGCCGAGTAGAGAAGAAAGGAATGAAAAAATCAAAACCGCAACAGCAAGTGGCTGCCAATCAATCAGCGGAGACAAAATCTTGTGAACAGAGGGATCAGATTACGATCAAGCGGGGAAAGGGAAAGGGAAAGGAGCACGGGAAATGAGGGGGAAAGGGAAGAGAAAGGAAAGAAGACAGACGACTACAGGATGACTGGTGGGAGGAATGAACGAATTTTCTTTTATATAATAAAAAAGTGTTCTCCTGATGGAAGACAAATAGACTTGAGGATTACGTTTGCATTGAATTCTTTGTTTTTTCTCACTTCTTTCTGGTGGATTATAAAAATACAATAAAAGATGGAAAGGAAATGTTAAATGGGGAATCAATTAATGATGGATTTCTGGACTCAACTGCTTATTCCTAAACCTAATCCTTCCCGCCGTTGTTTATCCGTGTCGAGCGAGCGGACAACTGGACAAGTGAGTATATAACTATTTTGCTGCTGTTGACGATTCTTCACAATAAAGAAAAGAGAACTGTTGGCTTTGATGGTTGTAGTTTGAAGTTTGAAGTTTGAACGATATTCTTTGTCTTGTATTCGCAGTAATTTCACAAGACGAGGAGTTTTTTTTTTTTTTTTTTACAAAAGATATTCAATATATAGAATCACCAAAAGAGATAGTTACACCCTGAAAAACAGCCAGGTCTGATAATTAAACAAACGACTCGCAGTCGGTGACAATGAAAGGGCCTTTCTAGCCACCAAATGGGCTACCCACAAGATGAGGAGTTCAGTCCCCTTTCTAGCCACAAGATGAGGAGTTCAGTTTGGACTTTTGGGGTCGTTTGGATTAGTGTTTTTAACGAGGGATTTGGCCACAATCTCTCACAGTTAGGGATTTTAATTAAAATCACTCGTTTGGGAAACATTTTTTTATTAGAGATTTTAAACATTCCGGATTTTAGAAACCCACATTTGTGGGTTTGTGAAATAGCTGATGACCACCAGCTATTTTGAAATCCCTCATTATTTTGCCAATTTGTTCCATAAATGCCCATACTATTTTTCTGAAAATCTAACTCTACCCTGTTAGGAATTTTATTCCTATCTTAAGTGGACTATCAATTCACAAACATTATATGGGGTATTTGATTTTGATGGGCTATTTTAAGTGATCAATTTTGTCAAGCCCATGACTGCTTAAATCCAATATGGGCCCAATGAGTGGAAACCAGATACTAAACCTAATTAGGGTTTTATGGGAACCCTAGCTAAACATAGTATATAAAAGAATCTAGAGGTTGTGGTCCCCAAGACACCAAGACGAAACACTCTCGTCTTCTCCCCATCAGGAAGATCAGAGGATTCCCGTTAGTGGTCTAAGGAGGCTTGGTTGAGGAAGATCACAAAACCTCCCGGATCGTGCTCTAGAAGTATCGTCCGGCTGTAGATCGTCTTCCAGATTCCGCATCAAGCTCTTGGCGATCAACAACACGGTTCCAGGTATTTCTACAAACCTTTGATAATCTGACAAGGTGAATTCCGGGAATTACATAGAATAAAGTAAATTCTAACAAGTGGTATCAGAGCCCTTCATCTCTGTTTGATTATTGGGGTTTTGGAATTCATGTTTGGAGCATGTTTAATTTGGTTCTATGTTTCCTTCTTCTCATTCCGTTGGCATTCTTTGTTTGACTGAAGATTGTTTCATTTGCAATCTCGTGTAGTCAATTATATTCGTATTAAGTTTATATGAATTATATGTTGGGAGAAATTTTGGTTCCATTTTTTTTTTTCTTCTGTTGAATGCATGCTACTGCTCTCAATCCATGGACTGTGATTGTTTAATTCCCCCTACCCCTAATGCGCTGGGAAGTGGGATGCATGCAGCTGTTCATTTCTTTTGGTTCATAATTAGAAGTTTTCAGTAACTGGGATGGGAAATTACTATTATGATAATTTTGGTTTTTTGGTTAAAGTTAAAGACAATAAGGTTTATCAGCAATTGATTGATCATTAAGTTTTTCTTCTCGGTAATGATGCGTGCTACTGTTCATGATGTTTTGGTTGTCCCTGGGGAATGGAGAATGCTCTCCAGAAATTGGAACTAAAATGAATGCATCAACGTTCATGGTCATTTTTCGGTTGTGCTACTTCTTACCCGTTGGAATTCTATTTGGGTTATAATTCATTAAAGTTTCGGTAATAAGGATGGGGTATTAAGTGAAATTGGAATCATTTATTTTTGCCCCTTACCGTAAGCTTAATTTAAGGTTTTTTGGTGCAGCTGGTTAACAACTATTATGATAATTGTTTATCTTTCGGTTAGTTGTATTGCTCCATTGTGAAAGGTTTCAGTATAATAATAGTTATAATTTTTGTTGTTGCTGAACGTTACAGAATTAACTATAATTATCTTCCGTTTATGGGTTACGGAAGTGAAAAGATTAATAATTCAGTCTTTCGGTTACGGGAACTTATTTATGTGTTTATGATTTCCATAATAATTATTTTGTTCCCATTCGGTTACGGAGAGTTATTTCCGACTTTGGTTGAGGTTATAATAATTATTATTATCAATAAACCAGATAGTTAATTAAGTATAATATTCGGTTACAATACTGATTAATTATTCAATTTGCATTCAGTTACGGTAAGATTTGTTACCAGTTACAGAAATTGAGCTAAGCTGAATCTATCTTTCAGCTTTTCGGTTGGAACTCACATATTCTAACGATGATGATTATGGTTCGGTTACAGTTCCAATAATACTAATTATTTATGATCGGTTACAAATGTGAAGTATTTAATTATTACCTTCCCGATAATAAGGTTTTTTTTTTTTTAATTTGTATGATAATGATTGTTGGCTTTTGCCGTGACTAGTAATTAATTCCTACAGTTAAGTAAAGCATCATTGTGAGTTCATTATGCTTCTGAAGGGTCCATTAATAAAGACAACAACATGAATTTATGGTCTGCTTATATATTTGGCTTGGATTTTAGGGCTAGTCATAATGATTTCATGTTTTTTTTTTTTTTTTTTTCTGTGTGATGGTCGTTGGACTACTAAAATGCACTTACAGTTATTTTGTGCGTTTCATGCCTTGTGGTTTTTATAAACAAGACTAGTTGTTCTCGAGGAATATAAGCCTCATTTCAGTAAACCAAATTTTGGGGTCGGTTGACAATTTTAAATCCCTATAAAGTAAAGGTTTATATTTTTGTGCCTATGAACTATATATATTCACTAGCCCAAAGGTAGGTGAATATTTTTAAGAAAATCATATGTGCACAAGTAGTAATAAATGTGTGGTGATTATTCGGTTCACGTGTGAATTTTAAATCAGCCCAAAGGTAGATTTATTGTTTCGCATGTTCTTGTCATCAACGTTTAATTACTGTGTCATAAGACATCACTTACAAGTTAATATTTTGTCCAAAGATAAAATATTAATGGAGTGCAAGGTGTCTTGAGATGGTGTAAACCTTTATTTATAATTATTGTTGTAATTCTCTCTTAAGGATAATTAATCACTTATTTGGAATTCTGTGATTATGAGAGAATTGTCCAGTATTTTAATTAAATTAATTTTAGCAGTATGTTGCCAAAGTAACCTCTACTTGCGAAAAATTATTTAACTTAGATTACATGGATGTACGTGTAAGGTTACTTATGTGGGTAGTGATCGACCCAAAGGACGACACTAACTGACCGAGTAATCAAACACCTTAATGATAAATACGTGATAATTATAAAGTTAATGTTCATGTGAATAACAGTCGGTCCAAAGATAGACTGTTGTTTGACGGAACTTATTATCAGTATTTGATCATTGTATTAAGAGTACCGCTCGCAGTTAATTTCTCTGTCCAAAGACTAAGAATTAATGTTGCATTTGGTATCTTATGATGGGTCCCCAAAATTTGGTTTACTGAAATGAGGCTTATATTCCTCGAGAACAACTAGTCTTGTTTATAAAAACCACAAGGCATGAAACGCACAAAATAACTGTAAGTGCATTTTAGTAGTCCAACGACCATCACACAGAAAATACGTGATAAATACCTTAATGATAAATACGTGATAAATACGTGACCGAGTAATCAAACACCTTAATGATAAATACGTGATAATTATAAAGTTAATGTTCATGTGAATAACAGTCGGTCCAAAGATAGACTGTTGTTTGACGGAACTTATTATCAGTATTTGATCATTGTATTAAGAGTACCGCTCGCAGTTAATTTCTCTGTCCAAAGACTAAGAATTAATGTTGCATTTGGTATCTTATGATGGGTCCCCAAAATTGGATAATTTTATTGTCTTGTTTAATTACATGGTTTGATGTGTGTCTTCTTTTATCTCAATATAGTTTTTTTGTGCTTTGGTTTAAACATTTCTGTCGAAATTAAAGTTAACTCTTATGTTAAATGGGATGAATCTAAAGAATTTAAAGTAAATTCAAGATAATTATTCTCGATATATAGGCATTGATCTTGCGCTTTTATGTGGAACAATCCCTATTCTACTTCGGAAAATCTCAATGAGATTTAATAATAGCGAATAGAGATATATCCAATTCAGTGTGCATGATGATCATTAAGCGCTCTATTCGATGAATAATTATGGGGCTATTATACTGAGATGCCTCTGAGGTTTATTGAAGTAATAATACAGTATTTTGCCGAAACATAAAAGGATCCGGGGTAAGCTGCCTATTGGGATAATTTAATCCATAAAGTGTAAAGGCAAAATGTACAAGTGTATTATATTTTGGAGGTGTCAAAAGGCATACTCAACACTTGTTTTAATTTATCTTCCTCCATGAAGTTTTAGGTGAGTACTAATATTCACAAAAGGAGAGGAGGGAAGATACGAGATGAGACTGAACTCAATCACTAAACCTCAAATTCTCAGTAAAGGAACAAATAGAGAGTTAAGGATGTTATGGTTTCGTTGAACTCTTAAAGACATGGCGAGGAGTTTTTTTACTTACTAGACTCCATTTGGATAAAAGTCATAAAGGTTACAACGTACATCCTTAAATTGAGTATCTAGAAGGTAGTTAATGTAACCAATAAGTGCAATAAGGACTTTGCACATTTAGGGTTGTCCAACTTAGGAAATACCTTGTAAGGTACAAGAAGGTATAATGGACAAAAGAATTAACTTATACTTTGTTGGCTACTCAATAGTACTCTCGAGGCTACAAGTTTTATAATCCCACCTCAAGAAGTTTTTAAATGAGAAATGTGAGATTTCTTGAGTATTTTGAGTTTTGGGGGAAGGAAACATAAGGAATATTGTTACCACACAAACTCAACACACTCAAGAAGTGCCATTAAGTATATCCACAAAGTAGAAGATGGACGATTCTAGCAACAATATCGTTGTTCTTCAAAGAATATATACATGACATCAGGTTGACTAATGATTCAATTTTTGTCAAGTCATGAACAGTTATGAGAAGTTGATTGATGCCATGTGGTGAAGTCAATGAGAGATATAAGGCATGTTGGTCTCTAATGCTTTACTAATAAGGAAAGTGTTGGCTCAAAGAGACTTTCTCTCTGGTATATTTGAAAGACTCTTTAAGGAATATAATGGCAATGGTGGCTCATATAAGCATCTCATTATTGATATCACAATTTTTATCATGTTATTAGCTCATTCAGATTTAGAGACTAATGTTGGAGATGATTGTTTATATCTTAAGTTCAGTGGGAGTAAATTCTTTTTCCTGTTTTATACATCATGGTTGTTCTACTTAAGGTGCAAGTAGAATAAGTTAGTAAACCAGGAGATGTGTTGTAGCTAAGGGACACAGTTTTGGTCTCAATCAGTGCCCCAATTATATATAAGAAATTAAGATAAAAAATCTCTTGAATGCATATTTGCATTAAAGATCTAATGTATACTTTAGTTTATTCTCATCCCAATAAAGCATTTCTAGTAAGAGTCTTTGGCAGATATTTGATTGGTCTATGCATGAAAAACTAGAAGGATTCAAACGTGTAACGCGTTTACTAAAGTTGATAAAAGAATTCATGCAAATTTGTTGGAGATCAGATAATTTAGAGATCATCAAGTACTCTGACTCTGATGTTACAGGATGTCAAGGTAGCATGAACTCTACATCAGGTTACCCTTCAGTGTTGGGTAGAATTCAAAGCATATCTTGAGACTTCCAATTATGGTAGCAACGTTTTGTCATTAAAATGATATTGGTAAGTCATTAAAGGTTAACAGTGACAATGATTTGATAGTGTTACACTATCGTTACCACGGATTTCAGAAGTCAAATGTATTGACATCAAGCTCCTGGTGGTTAAAGAGGTTCAAAATAGACAAGTTTCTATTGAACATTAAGGAAATGACTAATGCTAGCTTATCCATTAGCCAATGGTTTGACACATAAAGTTTTCCACGAGCACGTTGCTCACATGAGTGTTATTCCGGATGGTACCTTGGTTTAGTGGGAGTCATTTAAGTAGTTCAATAGATTATGACTAAATCAATTCTGCAGAATAAAGTGATGGTTTTCTAGAGTCTATTTTGGAATTTGAAGTGCCTTCAGTTATACAGTGGTCACATTGTATGAAGGAATTTCAGTTGATCTCACTAAGGACTAAAGTAGGACCAGTTGAAAATAGGCATGTTGAAGATCACATTGCATGTAATTTTCATGCCACTCATCCATATTTGATCTATGTCATTAAGTGTATTGGTGTGGTGATCATGGTGGTTTAATCATTATCATATCGTGATTAAAGCCGCGTTGGTTCCATTATTGATACATGAGGTGGACCAGATTGTTAAGAAGTAGTTGTTGTACAAATACCATACGGTTGCGCGCCTAAAGAATTTTGTAATATAAGTGTTTGTGCAATTAGACAGTCCAAGTGGGAGATTGTTAGGAATTTTATTCCTATCTTAAGTGGACTATCAATTCACAAACATTATATGGGGTATTTGATTTTGATGGGCTATTTTAAGTGATCAATTTTGTCAAGCCCATGACTGCTTAAATCCAATATGGGCCCAATGAGTGGAAACCAGATACTAAACCTAATTAGGGTTTTATGGGAACCCTAGCTAAACATAGTATATAAAAGAATCTAGAGGTTGTGGTCCCCAAGACACCAAGACGAAACACTCTCGTCTTCTCCCCATCAGGAAGATCAGAGGATTCCCGTTAGTGGTCTAAGGAGGCTTGGTTGAGGAAGATCACAAAACCTCCCGGATCGTGCTCTAGAAGTATCGTCCGGCTGTAGATCGTCTTCCAGATTCCGCATCAAGCTCTTGGCGATCAACAACACGGTTCCAGGTATTTCTACAAACCTTTGATAATCTGACAAGGTGAATTCCGGGAATTACATAGAATAAAGTAAATTCTAACATACCCCTCTTCTATTAATCCTTCGTAACTCTGTCTGCAACTTCAATTTTGTCACTCTGTCACAGGCTTAGAGCAGTGGATGCGATAGACTGTTCTGCTTCCACCCAAACGAAGCAGCTCGAAGACAAGGGAGGGGCTGCCGCTGAGTGCTGACCGACGACGACTCAACTTCGCAGCGTAGGAAATCAGCGGCGACGAACCTTTCTTCCAGCAGGTGAGTTCGCAGAACCTTCTTCCTCCGCTCTTCCTCCTTCACTCATCTTGGGGTCTGGGTATATTAAAGCCCGATTGTGGTTGTTTGGCGAAAGAGTAAACAAGAGATGGACCCGGGAAAGGTCCTACAAACATAATACGACATCTTGTGGACTTGAAAGGAAGGATGGTACCTTAGTTTCTGGAATTGGTTGATAATGCCAAAAGCCATAAAAGCTCAGTTTAATTCAAGTCCAAAGGATATATGTTCTCTTTCGTTTACAACAGGGATATATGTTTACTTATATTGGTTGTGGTTACAGCAGGGATGATATTTAAGGGTAAATTGGACGAGTCCTTTGTTGCTTGTTAAGGGTAAATTTGTGATTTTACATTTTCATTATAAAATCTCACATTTATTGGCAAACGAGTGATTTGTCGACAATCCCACTCAAATTTCCTAATCCAAACGGTGTGGCTCTTGTGCGATTGTCTACTCCACCAGCCAGCCAGCACAATGCCATCCCAGAAAGCAGTTTGGTGGGAGGTTGAAAGGTATGATTTCGACTTATGTACCAAATTTCACAATTTTGATAGCATCGTCTTCAATAATCGAAGGGGTCAAATAATGTATATGAGCAAACAATGTTAAGTTAGGCTGATGCAAATCCTTCCAAGTTGATGATCGGATTGGTTTGGCTAGAGGGTAGAGAACCATAAACGAAAGCACAAAGTATATAAAGATGCTAACTTTTGCGCAGAATGACTTTCCAGAAAGCTGTCATTATCATATCACTTTTAACAAACAGACGACTCACATAAAGAATCTCTAAATCTACAGAGCTCCCAACTCAACCTGCCCCTTTCCTTTTTCGCTCGCAGAAAGGGAGGCTACAAGCATTGGTTTCCAGATTATCGTAGCTTGATCTGATAACTATGGTGGGTATTGTAAGTTGTAACTAAGAAAGTAGACTTTGGGAAGCCTGGACATCAGAACTTAGAGATGCCAAAACTTTCTGCCCGGCCGGGCTTGCATTTATAGTCTTCATGACATTATCAGAGATGGGTTGCCTGAAAACCTCTACATGCATCAAACGACAGAACCTTGAAACTGACACATCTTGATGCAAACAAGTCACTGAGGATGCCTCCGAATAACTTTGGGGCAATTGGCAGCTCATCAATACCAATGTCATCTAACACTGAGGCATATAGAAGACATGATGCCCCAATATCTCCAGCTGTGAAGACATTTTTCATGAGTAAGTGATTGAGAAGTGATAGACCGTTATTTACACATGTTTTTACCCCCGTTCTTATACCGTTTGAGGTGTTGATTCTCGTGTTTTAGGCTGATTTCACGCTAGGTTGTGCTTGTTTGTGATATTTCAGGTCCTAGTACGTGAATGGAGGCTTGGGAGCGAGTTTGGGGTCGATTAGACGAAGATCGGACGAATGGCGAGGTTTCAAGGAAGCCGCACGGGCAGACCGGGGCATCGCACGGCCGTGCAAGTGAGCAAGGTGGCCGTGTGATTTCCACCGAGAGCAAACACGGGCACAAGTAGCTTTCACACGGCCGTGCCAGTGAGCAAAGTGGCCGTGTGATTTTTGCCGATGCCACACACGGGCAACCCATGAAATCCACACGGCCGTGCAACCCTGGCCGTGTGAGATGGCTGAAGACCGAACTAATCCATACGCTGCGTTTCGACTCGCACGGGCAAAGTGGTGAGCCACATGGCCGTGTGGCCTGCCCGTGTGAGTCGGGAAATTCTGGTTTTTGAGCCAATTTCGAGCCAAAAGTGGGAGAATCGGATTTTCAGAGCAAGAACAGAGCCCTAGAGAGAGAAAGTACGAAGAACACATCCTAGAAGCTATCTTGGAGCTGGGTTTCATCGAATCAAGCTTGGAGATCGTCATAGGAGTGGAAATCATCATCCCGGAGCAGATTTTCCTCATCATTATGAGTATGACTTCTCCGATTACTATTTCCTCATCCCGGAGCGATCGATAGCTGAAACCAGCTTCGATACTACTTGCACCAAATCAGAGGGATGGGCTCCCACAGTATGTACACCTCGGCTGGGTGCTCTCCTCGACCTCCTGGCAGTGCCCCAATCATAACCGTTCTCCGCCATCTCCTCAAAGAGTTGATTCAGCTGGGGGAGAGAAGAGAAAACAGTAATCGGAGTAGTCATACTCATAATGATGAGGAAAATCTGCTCCGGGATGATGATTTCCACTCCTATGACGATCTCCAAGCTTGATTCGATGAAACCCAGCTCCAAGATAGCTTCTAGGATGTGTTCTTCGTACTTTCTCTCTCTAGGGCTCTGTTCTTGCTCTGAAAATCCGATTCCCCCACTTTTGGCTCGAAATTGGCTCAACACCAAAATGCGACCAAGTGTAATCGCAGTCCGGGAATGCAGAAACAGGCAAGTTATATTATCAACCCGGGGTCTAGATCTACTGTTTACTCCGTCATTGTCTATTATCTAGCAAACTAATTCGAGTGATTGTTGTTTAAAGCAAAAACAGTAAGAAAGCAGTAAATTGTTCGGTTTTCAAAGTCAGGAAAGAGTCACTCGGGATTGAGTCCCCCTAGCCCCTTAATTAGATCCAATTGTAATTACCCTGGGTTGATTCACTGTTGATTAAACTGCGGAAGTTCCGACAGTAGCTTGGAATCTCTTAAGCTGACCAAGCCCTCTCAGTCTAACTACCCGGCAGACGGCTAGTTTTCACCGGGATAGAAAGCTGAGGCTATGAACACAGAACTCCACTACTGGAATTGAATTCCAGTACAAAGCAGTAAACTGACTAACTCTCGTATAGCCAATCTCCTACTATCGAATGAAGAGGCTCTAACAACCTAATCAGATTCTATCTATCTCAGGTTGAAGCATATATTGAGAAAGGCTGATCAGACTCCAATCAATTCAATAAACATGCATCATTCGATTAAAATCAAACAGTATAATCATCCCAAGTCATTACAATCAAATTCCTAACACAAGGAACTAGGGTTCTTCATACCCAAGTGAGAGAAGGGTTCTGCTCCATAAAGAGAGAAGAGAAAACAGTAATCGGAGTAGTCATACTCATACTGATGAGAAAAATCTGCTCCGGGATGATGATTTCCACTCTTATGACGATCTCCAAGCTTGATTCGATGAAACCCAGCTCCAAGATAGCTTCTAGGATGTGTTCTTCGTACTTTCTCTCTCTAGGGCTCTGTTCTTGCTCTGAAAATCCGATTCTCCCACTTTTGGCTCGAAATTGGCTCAAAAACCAGAATTTCCCGACTCACACGGGCAGACCACATGGCCGTGTGGCTCGCCACTTTGCCCGTGCGAGTCGAAACGCAGCGTATGGATTAGTTCGGTCTTCAGCCATCTCACACGGCCAGGGTTGCACGGCCGTGTGGATTTCATGGGTTGCCCGTGTGTGGCCTCGGCAAAAATCACACGGCCACTTTGCTCACTGGCACGGCCGTGTGAAAGCTACTTGTGCCCGTGTTTGCTCTCGGTGGAAATCACACGGCCACCTTGCTCACTTGCACGGCCGTGCGATGCCCAGGTCGGCCCGTGCGGCTTCCTTGAAACCTCGCCATTCGTCCGATCTTCGTCCAATCGACCCCAAACTCGCTCCCAAGCCTTCATTCACGTACTAGGACCTGAAATATCACAAACAAGCACAACCTAGCGTGAAATCGGCCTAAAACACGAGAATCAACACCCCAAACGGTATAAGAACGGGGGTAAAAACATGTGTAAATAACGGTCTATCAAACTCCCCCACACTTAACCGTTTGCTTGTCCCCAAGCAAACCAAGTCAGACACCAGGTAAGCTTACAAATCTCAGTCAACCAACATTGGGGACAAGTCATAAAGGCACAGAACACGTGAATCGTACTGGTTTTCAAACATTAATACATGAACAACCTCAAAAGCAACCTCGACAACCACCACAAAGGACATTCGAGTGCAGCAAAATCGAGTAAAGGAAGAGTCTCCATTCTGTTCACCAGCCAACCTAGATTTGACTCAACCACTTACTCAAAACAGTCAACTCATGCATCCAACTCAAGACATCAGAACAGAGACCAAGCAATCTAGGTCCTCACCGGGGTACAAGAGTATATAGAATATGAAAATGAATCACTCACTCTCGACCAGTGGGGTCAGGACAATTTAATGCGAAAAATGCGCATGCTATTTCTCTCATCCCTAACATCTCTTCACCATGATGGCAGCCTCTAAATGTTAGAGTTCACATATAGGATGTCATCACTAACTAATCAGGAAGTCTTAGACACAGGTTCAAATGACTGGCTAGGGTCTTGGACATGGGGAAAATGCCTTTTAGGTGGTGGAAGTATTCATAGCAAAAGGTTCCACATTTCCAAACCCACACAATCACAGTCAAACAAACCGATATTCCCTTTCTGCTATTCTGCAATACTCAACATCTCAAGAGCACAAGAGCGAAGGAGGCATAAACATCAGCATTTCCAAGCCAGACTGCTAAGAAACACTACTTAATGGGCATTATTCAGATTTTTGGTAGTGGCTCTCTTTTGTTTTCAATTTTTCTTTGTTTTTCTTTCATTTTTCTTTTCATTTCTTAAGAGAGCCACCACTTCTGCACATATTTCAAACATCTGCCCAACTTTTACGCACTACCTCCAACACTCACATAAACTTTAGCAGAAACAGCAGAGAATATGTAAAAAAAACCACTCTGTGGAACATTCTAAAAGATACAAAAGGGTGATTTTCTCATTATAGACCAAAAGAAAGGATAACACACGGCTCAAAGGGGCTGACTAGAGGATATGACACATCAGGACAGTCAATTTGGGCGTGGGCTAATTATATGCCCCCATCATCTTAGCTAGTGACAACGTGGATGCTACACATCATGGAAGAGGGATCTAACGCACAAGAAAGAAACGAGCAGGCTCAAATCTCACATGGCTACCTATATGCTCTATCTCACATTCTGATACCCTGAACCAGATGCACAAACGACTGTCAAGAACAAGTAATCAATCAAAGTCACAGTTGGCAAGCAAACAGTTGAAAAACTGAACCCCTACATCGTTCTACTGCACATCTCAGTCCTCATCATAGGTTGTCCTAGTCACCATCAAGCTGTCATGCATTAATCCGAAAACCATTCAATTCATCCATCAAAACACAGTGCCAATATGATCAAACATCAGTACTTGGAGCCCTCAAATCGTAAGATTCGGACAGCGGACTAGGCTCCAAGCACCCAAATATATATTCCAACCGATACAAAGCACCCCCCACACTTAAGCACGACATTGCCCTCAATGGAGTAGAGGGAGAGATAAGGGGAACGATGTACCGGATTGAAACACTGCTGGGGGACTGGAAGTGGACTAGTCAGCGAGAAACAAACGGGAGAATGGACAGTTCTGCACGAATCGAACACCAGAAACACACAAGCACTGTGCGTTAGGGATAAATGTTAGCCCAGACGGCTACATCATAAACAAACCAAAAAAGAAAACCAAAAACAAAAACAAACGACACTAGGTTCAAGCTCCTCACACATGGAGCAAACACACAAAAGTCTAAAACGAAAAGCAAAACACACTGAGACGGGCAACGAGTACAGCCTACTCGTCGCCAAGATCATCCAAGTCGATGTCGGCCATGAAGGCGTCATCATCAGCTGCTCCATCAGTACCATCATCACCGTCAGCTGGGGCATGAGGAAGTGGAGAGTCATCCCAGGGAGTCCTCCAGACGGGCTGCTCGCCCGGGAGCAGCTGGAGCAGGTGCTGCTGGACCTCCTGCATGCGCCGTGAACGGCGCTTCTCCCGCTCGATGTGGGCGAGAGTCATCCCCTGCTGTGTCGACGCTCATCATAAGCAGTCATCCTGCTCTGGTACGCGGCCTGGTGTTCCGCGTACTGCTGATGGAACTGAATCTGCTGGTCGAGGATCTGCTGGTTCTGGATCCGCAGCTGCTCGAACTGATAGGAGAAGTAATCCTGGCCCGGGAAAGCGGAGCTGCTACTCCCGTAATGGAAGTCATTCTGTGGTGGGTCAGCAGCAGCGTCCACATCCTCTGGCTCCACATCATCAGCAGCCTCCTCCTCCTGGCCCTTTGGCTTGTCCTCTGGCTCGGGCTCCGCGGGGATCGGAGGTTCCGGAAACCCATCGATCCATAGAACACCGTGCCTCTCTCGCAGCAGCTGCATCTTACCGATCGTCTTCCTGCCAAAGATGAGGGTGTCCCCTGCTAGGTGCACCCCTGCAGTGAAAGCACGAAGTAGGTGGCCAGGCGGGTGATGAAGGGGCCGCAGTGGAGGCTCTTCAGTTCTGTAGCAGTCTTCTCGAAGATCCTGGCCACCACCGAACCCAGGTGGAGACGATGGTTGTGCTGGCGGATCGAAGCGATGAAGTACATGGCCCTCTTCGTGATGGCGTTGGCACTGTCTGCCGCGGGGGTGTAAGACTTCGCCAACAGGTGGTGGAGAAGGCGGTTGTCGAGCAGCAGGGTAGATGCATTCGTCCTCCCGGCCCGGAAGGGACGCGTCTGGCCTGGATGAGCCAGGCGGGTGTATAGCCTCCCGAAGTCCACCTCAGGCGGATCATTGACCTCGGTGATGTAGTTCCTACGGTCGTCTACGTCGAGGTCGAGAGCCTCGGCCAGCTCGTGGTAGCTCATGGACCGGGGGCACCGCCTAGCCTGAATTGGACGGCTGTACCGTCCTTTCCATCGGACGTGTGGAATTTTCCCCCCGGCCGTGCAAGCTCTCGGCGAAAATCGCACGGCCAAAAGTGCATAATTGCACGGCCGTGTGGCTCGGCCTGGCCGTGTGGCCGACACGGGCAAAAAATTTCCTCGCACGGACGTGTGGAATTTTTCCCCTGGCCGTGCGAGCTTTCGGCAAAATCCGCACGGCCAAAAGTGTAAATTTGCACGGCCGTGTGGAATCCCTCGGCCAGGCCGTGTCGGCCAACACGGGGCAAAAGTGCCCCTTGCACGGCCGTGCGGGCCTTCCCGTGCGGCCATGCACGGCCTATAAATTCGGCCAGCACGGCCGAGCAGGTCAGAAAATTCACTTTCCTCGCCGGAATCCTCTGTCCTCACCGGGAAACCGCAACAAAAACCCCCCATTTTCGATTTTTT